CCCGCATCGGGCTCACTGCTCCATCATGGGCCTGTTTCTCTCTCTCCCTCTGCCTGCTTCTCCCTCTGCTTGTGCTGGCTCTCTCTCTCTCTCTGTCAAGTAAATAAATTTAACGTAAAATAAATAGCACAAGGTTTTGCCACTACCTCGTTATCTCTTCCTAGGGAAGTCATTTTCCCCTCTCTTCATTCGACGTATGATTCTTGAATGCCTGCCGCTGTGAACCAGGCACTATTCTCTGGGCCTCAGCTTCTAAATCTGTCATGTGGGGAGACCAGATGAGCTTTACCACAGTCTTCACCTGGAGAGGGCATCAGACTCAACAGAGGACCCATTAAAACACAGACTGCTGTCCCCTGACCAAGTTTCTGATTCAGTGGGCCTGGGTAGGGGCCAAGAGTTAGCATTTGTAACAAGTTCCCATGTGATGCTTATGCTGCTGACCCAGGAACCACTTCTGACTTCATAGGGTTCTGTACTTGTAAGTAAACTACATTTCCAGTTCTGAAAATATTAGAGAATAAAGAATAGATTCCTGTAGCTCAGAACACAAAACAGACACATCAACGGAAGTAAAATTATCTAGCTTCCATTCTACCCACAGGGGCATGGTGGAGGGACATGAAATCAGGTCATGGTCAGAATCTGGTGAGTTTCAATAAGTAATTCTTACTGTGGGAGGTAACGTGGTGCAAAGCCTTTTGAGGAAGGTTAAGTGGTGAGGTTTAAGCTAGGCAGGGCATTCTGTTATCATCAGGCCTAGTGCCCACAGGATAACACTGCTAGCGGTCATTTTAAAGCCCCCACAATTTATCCCTGCCTTACAAGTTCAGTCTGATCATCAGTGAGTTCCTGACATGGATACCTGCACCTGACTCCATGCTTTTATACACACCATTCCCTCAACCAGAATACCCTTCCTGGTCTTCTCATCTCTGTATGAACTCTATTTGTCCATCACGACCCAGGTAAACCTAACTGTTCTCCATAAGAATGAATATTCCCCCTACACTGTGTCTTTTTCTGCTGATACCAATTCAGTGGGACACTTGATCATTGTTAACTTTTTTTTTTTCATTCATCAATTCATTCATTCAACAAATATTACCCCTCTTTCAACAAATCCCTATTGGAGGGCCTACAATATGCTGGGCATTATGGTAGGTTTTGGGAATAAAATCATAGGCAAAAATAGACATGGCCCCTGCTCTAATAAAGAGAAATCCATTCATCAAATAATGGCACTGGTGGAAGTACAATTATGGACTGAGAAGAGTGGTTTGAGAGAAATGAATGTGTAAGAAATGACCCTGATGTTGACTTGTGGTTGGGGTCGGAGTAGACTTCCTTAAGAAATACAGTCTGAGCTGAGATCTGAATGAAGGATGCCCAGGACGTGACTAATGAAAAGAGTATGGGGAAAGGAACAGCTTTCCAAATTAGGGGTGTGGGGGCACGCCAGCATGTGCAAAGATCCTGTGGTGGGAGGCAGTGTGGCAGCTTCAGGAAACTGAGAGAAGACCAGAATGGCTTGGGGTGGTGGGATGAGAAGGTGGTAAAGAACAAAGAAAAGAGAGATACATTGCCAGACTGGGACAAACTTCAGAGCCCGATCGGCCTTGTTCATGATTTTGATTTTTAGCCTTAAGAGCACTAGGATGCCCTCAGAGGATTTTGAACAGTGATGGGGTCAGAGTTAAATTTAAAAAGTTCATTCTGCTGCTGCTCTCTGTAGCATGGACAAGACCAAAAGCAGGGAGATGAGTTGGAGGCTCTTGGGATGGTCCAGAAGACAGATGAGGAGGTAAATTGATAGGTTGTGGGGTTGGTTAAAGGAGAGGGAGGAGTCGAGGGCAAGAGTTTAGAGGAGCATCCATTCTGAGGAACATGATGTTGACTTTGCCTTTGAATATGGAAGTAGAATTTGGGGTAGGCAGCTGAGCAGGAGCCCAGACCCTCCGGACTGGGAGTAGTGACTGGGGGTCAGCAAGGTATAGTGGTGAGTGGGGATGTCAAGGAGGAGAGCTTGTGTGAGAAGAGAAAGACCCTCAGACTGGGTCATAAGCCCCTGAAGGAGACTCACTTCCCAGTGGCAGCACAGGGGATGTTTCTCTCATTTTCTCTCTTTGTTCTGCTCGCCATCATCCAAATTCAGGTCTTAGTTATGTCTCACCTGGATGCAGCGAGAGCCTACTAAAATTCTCAAATTTTAATGTGCACGTGAATCACTTGGGGGTCTTGATAAAATGCAGATCCTGATTCAGTAGATGGAAGCTGAAGCCTTGAGATTCTGAATCTCTGACAAGCTCCCAGGTGATACGGACCGCATTTTCAGTGAGGGGAGTGGGTCTCCTTGCTTCTGAAGCTCAGCACCATCAAGCCCAGCATCCTTGTGCCTGCTCGGATGCCTTCAGTAGCCATTCGTGGTCATATTCAGGATCTACTCTAGCTCTCCTTGGCCAGCCATGGTTTCCTCCCACTGGTTCCCTTCATCCACCCTTCATTCTACCAAACCAAAGCAAATCCCTTGCTCTGAATTTGTCCCTCTCTATCATTCAGAAAGGGACAGATACCAACTCAGTCTAGTTCCCGGTTGGAGGGGGGCTACTGCAATGGTCTTCACACTTTGCTGCTTGAAATCCCCCATAAAAGGATGTGGTAAATGTAATGACCCCCTTCACACATTTTCAGTTTACATCTACGTTTTTTATCATACATTTGCAGAAGATGCAATTTCCAGTATATTATAAACATTGATATTTTTAAATAAAACTATTACGTCACTGTTTTAAATTTATCCAGTGGAATCTAAGCTCCATAGGCATTTGATATCCACCATCATCCATTTTAAAAATGCATGAACACGCTCTTCACTAATTGTCAGTGTTCCTTTTTCTTCTTGAAACTTTATTTCTGTTCACTTCCCCTGTGGAATTTTATCCTAATGGAATATATGTAATCTATTTTATGCTTAAAACTCTTTCATTTGTTTCCCTATCATATTTGTAACAATTTTATATGAAATTAAAACTTCTTTAATTTCCTGAAATCATAAAGCTTTGAGTATTAAAATTTTCTCTGGTTTGAGTTATGTTAACAATTATTAATAGGACATGATCAAAATAACATAAATGTATTGCTGATTTGGATAAATAATTAATAAACATAAAACCTAAAATTATATTGAAGATGCATCTCTTGGTGAGATGGTAATGCTGGATGACTTTTTAAAATAAAGCTTTTTATTGACTTAAGACATACATACCTATATATGACCAGAGTGTACAGCTTGAATTATCCAAGTGAGCACACTCACTTGAATAAATACAGTTATCCCCACGCCCAGAAATAGAATACTGCTGGCATTGGGTTATTTCTTCAGTTTGTTTTTATATTCGTGGAAGAATATTACGTATTGTATGGGATTTGAGACGGGCCGACATTGATTACATTTCCATTTTTTAGTCATAGAGATGTAAGCCCTGAATATCCTCATTTGTGTGAACTGATAGAAGTTTTGTTAAAACAGGATCACTCAGTTCTTCCCTTTTTTTTTAGAAAAGATTTTTATTTATTTATTTGACAGAGAGTCACAGCGAGAGAGGGAACACAAGCAAGGGGAGTGGGAGAGGGAGAAGCAGGCTTCCCACGGAGCAGGGAGCCCGATGTGGGGCTCCATCCCAGGACCCCGGGATCATGACCTGAGCTGAAGGCAGACGCTTAATGACTGAGCCACCCAGGTGCCCCGATCACTCAGTTCTTGATCTGCTTCCGAGTTCTATACCGAAAATCACATAGCGATCTATCACTAACAATTAGACTTTAATTACTTCTGTTAGGCCCTCCTAAGAAAAAAAAGGAATTGGAAACCATCCAGCTTCAAAGAAGATTCACCACTCATTTATTAGAGTTGCTTATTTTCTAGATGGTGGCCAGGTGGGTTTTACTGGGGCGATAATAAGCCCAGTTAAGATTTGGGATTGGGTAAGAGGTCTGTCTTTTCTTTTGTAGAGAAGGAGGGCAGTTGTGAGAGTGCAAGTGTAAAACGTCAACTTGCACCTTCGTCACCAGTCAGTTCTAGAAAACAGCTTCTATGGAAGTTTGAGGATCTGGGAATTAAGAGAAAGAAAAACTTTCTCTTAAAACTTGGAGTGCATGTGTGTAGTGCTTGGAACGTCTTCGTGTACTCCCAGGGGTTCACAGACCCCAGTTAGACGTCCCCTAAAGGACCTGTCTGAGTCAAACCAGACTAAACCAGTCTCTCTAGATATCCTAGTTCATGGTTCTAAGACATGTCCCAGTATGGTTTTTCATGCCAGGTCAGCACTGTGCAGAGATGTTTCCCTGAGCAGGGACCTCAGAAAGCAGGGAACTGTGTTGACGGGACAGGCAAACTAATGTGTGCAATACTCCCCTTGGAAACTTTCTCCGGTTCCGTTCTTATCTGGCATAAGCTCTCCAGTCTGAGTTCCCATATCTGTTATTTTTACCTTTTTATTACGTGCATCCTTCCTTCTGGCACCGTATTTATTCATGTGACCCATCATCACCTTTTCTAACCATAAACACCTCAAGAGCTGGCCCATGTCATAATCATTTCCTGGCATTGTGCCTTACGCTTAGTAGGTGTCTAGTAAGTATTTGTTGAGCAGGTAAGTTGATAAATGAATGGCTTAACCTTCTTCACATCCCCTGCAGGTCCTAGGATAGTGCCAAGTCCCAGAAGAAAGGAGGAATTAATCAGTGAGCAAAACAATGAATTAACAAATCAATGAACTAATGAACCATGGAACAATGGCTGGAAAGTAAGAGAGTTCCCAACTCCCATGAGGGCCCAGAGCTGCAGAATCAGTGTAAAGGATGTGTAGTGTATGAAACAGGCTATTTCCAATCAAGTCTCCTGTTTTGTATTAAATTCTCTAACTGGTCAGGGTAGATGTCATTGTTCCTGCGGAGCATCCAAGTAAATCCGGTCCTGTGCTTTGCACCTTGTCTTGCAGGCGTGCGCGGCATCTCTGCACCCCGGCAGTGTTCGGTCCGTACCTTGGCCCGCGTGACCATGTCAAGCCCCCCGCTCTGCACATGAGTGGTACAGACCAACAGGAACATCTGGCTGCAGCCACGTTCACAGACATGTCAGCCGTGGAATAGTGTGGACACCTTCTCTCATCTTCTCAGGGTTTCAGTCCTTTTGGGTTTGTTTCATTGACCTTTTTTTTTTTTTATGGTTTTGTGGCTGGACGTTCCCGGCCAAGGCAGGCGCCATGGGGGATCAGCAACTCTACAAGACCAATCACGTGGCCCACAGTGGTGAGAACCTTTTTTACCAACAGACCCCACTTGGCATCCATGGCGGGCTGAACCACAACTATGGGAATACAGTCACAGGGGCTGGAATGGAGGCCCCTCAGGCATCACCCATCTCCCCCCACTTCCCTCAAGACACTCGGGATGGTCTAGGCTTGCCTGTTGGCTCCAAAAACCTGGGCCAAGTGGATACCTCGAGGCAGGGAGGGTGGGCAGCTCACACCGGGCCTGGAAACCATGTCCAGCTACGCGGCAACCTGACCAACTCAAACATGATGTGGGGGACCCCAGCCCAGCCTGAGCCCACCGATGGCTACCAATATACCTACTCCCAGGCCAGCGAGATCCGGACCCAGAAACTCACCAGCGGTGTCCTGCACAAGCTAGACTCCTTCACCCAGGTGTTCGCCAACCAAAACCTGCGAATTCAGGTCAACAATATGGCCCAGGTGCTGCACACCCAGTCGGCAGTGATGGATGGGGCCCCTGACAGTGCCCTCCGCCAGTTGCTGTCCCAGAAGCCCATGGAGCCCCCAGCGCCGGCTCTTCCTGCTCGCTACCAGCAGGTGCCCCAGCAGGCTCACCCTGGTTTCCCCGGCGGGCTGTCCAAGCCAGCCCTGCAGGTAGGGCCACACGCCAGCCAGGGGCACCTGTATTACGACTACCAGCAGCCGCTGGCTCAGGTGCCAGTGCAGGGAGGACAGCACATGCAGCAGATGCAGCAGCACCCGTATTACGCGGCGGCGCCGCCGCAGGCTGGGCAGCAGCACGTGCCCCTGCAGGACCTGCCGCAGCAGCCGCCGCCGCTGCCGCAGCCCCGCCCGCCGCAGCCTCAGCAGCCCCAGCAGCAGCTGCAGCAGCGGCAGGGTCCGATGCAGATACCTCAGTATTACCAGCCCCAACCCGCGATGCAGCACTTGCAAGAGCCGCCTCAGCCACAGCAGCAGCAGATGCACCTGCAGCCCCCCTCTTATCACAGGGACCCCCACCAGTACGGCCCGGAGCAGGCGCACGCTGTCCAGCTGATCCAGCTGGGCTCCGTGCCCCAGTACTACTACCAGGAGCCCCAGCAGCCCTACGGCCACCACCTCTGCCAGCAGAGCCACCTGCCCCAGCACCAGCAGCGCGAGGACAGTCAGCCCAAGACCTACCCGAGCGACAGGCAGGCCCAGGCCATGCTGAGCTCCCACGGCGACCTGGGGCCTCCCGCTGCAGGAATGGGAGACCCAGCAAGCTCGGACCTGAACCGGCTCGGCGGGGCCCTCCCGCACCGGCCGCTCCTGTCCCCCGGGGGGATCCACCTCAACAGCGTGGGGCCTCAGCACCAGCAGCTGTCTCCCAGTGCCCTGTGGCCCCAGGTACTCTCAGCGTGGGGGCAGCTCCGGGTACCTGGGTGTGCTGCAGTGCTAGCCAGAGCTGAGTCTGTCTAGGCAGGGCCCAGCCCTCTAGCCAGCCCCCTCCCGGGCTTCTGTTCCCTGTTCCCTGTTCACGCCACGAACGTTCGCCCACATGTGCCAGACGCTGTCTGTGCCAGGCACGTGGGACACAGAAGCGATTTCGACTCAGTCCTCTGCCCACTGAGCTTAATCTTGCTACGGAGGTGGCCAGAATACCATATGAGGTCCTGAATGATGCACGTAGTGGTCAAGGCCTGAGTCAGGGGCCCAGGGACCACACGGTGGGGTGTCTGGACCCCTCAGGTCTGAATCCGCAGAGAATTCCTTTGTGAAATTGTTCCCCCTTTGGGAAGGAGGCCACGTTATGACAGCCTTTCTCCAAGCATATTGCTCAGACCAGGAAGACCATAGAATGTTTAATAGATAAGGCTGGGGGGAGACAGGTTCTCCAAATGAATCCATTTTGGGGGTTCCTAAAGTGGATCAGGTTGCAATGCTGAGGGGCTTCTCGGAGCCTTTAATGTGCCAGTGGGCGCTGGGAATCTCCCAGAGGGGATACCTCCTGTAGCTTCAGAGATGAGAATCTTAGCTCAGGATTCAGGCAGGTAAAGGGACTAAGCAAAGTGGCCTATTAGGAGATAATGAGGAGTGGTGCCAGCTCTGGTGGCCTGGAATACAAAGGCCCCATCTGATGGCATCCTTATCAGGACTTTTAAAAACCGTCTAGCCCAACAAAAACCGTTGGCAGGCCTGTGGGCCACGGCTGTCAACCATGATTGTTTCCCAAATGTATTTGCCACAAAACGGCCTCCTGTGTGCTGGGCACTGTTCATGCCTTGGCATGTTCTAGGTGCTATAGTCATGTGACAATAGGCTCAGGGGAGAAGGGGACCAGGAGAGATGGAGAGAAGGCTCTGCTGGAGGCTGGAGATGAACTCCCCTTGACCCTGTCTTGCTTGAGACTCAGGCCCATTGGTAATGGAGAGCCTTTATGAATATAAGAATAAGGTGGCATGGCCAATGCCGACCTGACGAGCAGGAGGTCTCCGGGCATGCCGCTGTGTCGTCCAGCTCTCTGTTCCATGTTTCTCTCGGGAATGGAGCCTGTCTGTGCACACAGTGGTGGACAGGGAGAAAAGGAAGGAACGAGGTGGGGGATTGAGTCCTGGTGGGCTGGTGGCTGGTGGCAGCTCCCGGAGTAGGTGCGTTACCAAGTTGGGAGGCTGGGAGAAGCAAGGGAAAGAAGTGTCAGGTGCACCCAGCACCTGGACATGAACTGCTGGCCCCTGTGAGCTCGGGGAAGCATCTTAGAAAGTGCAGGCCCAGGGGTTCCCTCAGCTCAAAGACTCCTCCCGTGAGAAAGACACTTTTTTTCTCTTTCTTCTTTCTTCCCATGTCCTGCATGGCTCAAAATTAGATGCACCTACCTGATGGCAGAGCCCAGCCAGGGTCCCCCGAGTCAAGGTAGGATGGATGCAAGAAGGCATGTTGGCATTTTGGGAGAGTGGGAGGTTTTCCTGGGTTGTCTCTCCAGATTCATTTTCAAATTCAAAGTCAATTTCTCAAAGAAGTTTATCATAATAATAGCAGCAGCTATGGTGTTTGAGCATTTACTGTGTGCTAGGCACTCTATATTTTGTGTAATAAAGCAGCCCAGTGGGGGTGGGTAGGATTACCATGTGCCCAGCACATAGTAAGCACTCGACCATCCTTGGCTTTATTCCTGTGACTTTACGAATGAGAAAACAGGCTCAGAGAGCTTGGAGTTGTACATCAAGTAAGTGGCAATACGGGGATTGACTCCAGAGGCCATGTTCTGTCCACTGTTCATTCAGTCAAGTATTTATTGAGTATCTATCATGTGCCAGGCAGAGAGCTAAGCTTTGAGAATGCAGCAGTAAATAGTATAGACTTGCTTCCCCCCATCATGGGCATGGTAAATTCTTAGCCAGAACCTGACAAACTGCTAAGACATGCCGTCTAGAGGCTGAACCAAGGGACTTAGACACGTGTCTCCAAGGGGAGGCTTCTGGAAGAGGCAGCCTGAGCTGACTCTAGAAAGATAATAAATAGGCCAGAGGTGGAAAAAACCCAGCACTTGATGACCTAGAATGAAGGACGTTTTGTTCAACTCCTGCGTGACTTTGAGTAAGCCCTTTTTCCCACTCTTGAGCCTCAGTTTTCCATCTGTAAAGTGGGCTTAGTTCTCTGAAGGGTATTGGGATAATACAAGTGGGGCCATGGGAGCACTGGATGAATGAAATGGGTTCATTGTGGGGTGTGAGGTCTTGTGATAAGTCACCCTTCCTCTTTGTCAACATGTGTGTCCTCTCCATTTGGTCCTACCCTTGAGCAGTGGCCAACCAAAAGGAGTGTTTGGGGAGCAATTTGATGCCAAGAACAAACTGACGTGCTCCATCTGCCTGAAGGAATTCAAGAGCCTACCTGCCCTGAATGGCCACATGCGGTCCCACGGGGGAATGAGAGCCTCCCCCAGCCTCAAACAGGTTAGCAGGAGCCAGCTCCCGGCCCTTCCCAGGCCATGTGTTGCTTGCTTTGCTTTGCTGCCGTCAGACAGAGAGTGATGTGACCCCCCGGTGGGCCCCTGGGGAGGCACCATCCTTCCCTAATGGGAGTGCTTAAGCTTTGCCCCTAGGAGCCAGCCAGGTCAAACAGACCCCACTTCCACTGGTTTCATGAACAAGGGTCAAAAGCAGAGGGGCTAGAAACCTTTTGAGGGATCCCAGTCTCTCCACTTCCTGAAAAAGACAGCAAAGAAAACACGTAGATGCGATATTATTTTTAACTTCTGCTGCTTAAAGCACCTAAGACCAGAGTCTCTTGGGCCTCCCAGCGTAGTAGCCGGTGGCCAGGGAAAGCTAATGTGACCATTGGGCTCTCAGCCAGCACTTTCTACTCACCGATGCACTAGTGTGAGACTCTAGCAATGGAAGGTCTTTAAATACCCTCAGGATTATCCAGCGAGGATATCCATGTGGTGAGCTACCCATGCAGTTTTAGAGTGAGATTAAGATTCAGAGAATTTCTTAAAGTCTTTAGATATTATTGATCCAAATTTAAGTCTATGGGATTAACTCTCTGTTCACCAAAATCCTGGATACTCTGGCTCACTCCCATCTCCTGACCATTCCAGCTCAAAGAGCTTTGTCTTCCATTGGACAGATGAGTAAACTGAGGCCCATAGAATTAAGAGGTCCCACACAAGAGCTTACATGTTTTGTTTTGTGCCTGATTACCAGTCCATATCCTTTTCTTTAAAAGCGACAACAACAACAAAACTTCAATATCTGCTTTAATTATACAAGTGATAACGGTCGAGATTCTTTAAACATAGAAAATAGAGTGCATGGCCTTGTCCCCTGCCAACTGGCATCACTTGAGCCAAGGGACTCAGGGTTGCAGGAAGGAAACCACCCTGCCGTGGTTCTCTGTCACCCACGCATGATGTCCTGCAACATTTCAGGAAAAGCAAAGTGTGTCCCCCCTTGGGAAGGCTGCTCTCAGCCCAGGATCAAAGCCTTTATTGTCTGTGTAGGAGGAAGGAGAGAAGGCCCTGCCGCCTCAGCCTCAGCCCCAGCCTCCACTACCACCTCCGCCGCCACCGCAGCTCCCTCCCGAGGCAGAAAGCCTCACGCCTATGGTCATGCCCGTGTCTGTCCCTGTCAAGCTTCTCCCGCCCAAGCCAGGCTCTCAGGGCTTCGCCAGCAGCATCGTTGCCGCCCCCTCCGCCAGAGACAAGCCAGCCAGCTCGATGTCGGACGACGAGATGCCCGTGCTCGTGAGGATGACCCTCTCTCCCCCACACTCACCCCAAGGGGCTGCCCCTCACCCGCCTGCTGTGAGTTGCTGCTCTGCCCCCGCCCACCTGGGGTGGGAACATCTCTTTGCTTTCCTGGAGATGGGGCAGCTCTTCCAGGGTCACTGGCCTGAGCTCAGACATGGCTTGGTCTCTCGGGGTGAGCCCCACACGGCCGCCTTGGGAATCCCGTCCTTGTCCACACTGCCTGCTCCCCAGCGAACACCCGTTACTCTACCATGCTAACGGTCTGGGTAGATCCTGAGACCTGAAGGTATTCCAAGAGGGAAACAAAGACGATAACTCAGCTGGTAATCACAGCTATTAAAATACGGAAGTACTATCCCAGATAATAAATAGCTATTGCCTGGAGCCCTGGCCCCCCGACTTCAGGATCTCCAGACCTCCTCAAATCCAGCAGCTACAGATGGAAGCCCTGGCACAGCAAGCCTTCATGCAGTAGCCCTGGGATCCGTTCTGATGGTCAGCCTAAGCGGATGCTTCATATTTTCGGTATCCCACCTGCATTATTAGCCTTAGAGGACCTAATTCACTAAAGTTCCCAAAGTAATTCCACTGAGAGACACCCACCCACCAATCTCAGGAAAGCAAAGAGATTTGTGTTTCTCAACTCACTCTGAAGTTCTCCTTCTCTTTCTCAAATTCCAAGCGCTTCACCAAGCAGCTTAGCTTGGCTCTGGGGCAGAGATCTCTCTCTCTCTCTCCCTCTCCTTCTCCTTTTCCCTCTCCCTCTCTCCTTCCCTCCCTCCCTTCCTCTCTCCTACTCTTTCTGTCTCCCTCCCTCTTACCTCCTTCCCTCCCCTGGGGAGTCTGTAACCCATGTGGTCGACTACATCAGATTTGTTCCCTCTCCACAAAGTGGTGTGCTGGGTCATATTTGTCCTCAAAGAATAAGTGGCTGCTGGGATTCCAGGTGGTATGAGGGTGGGGTTGGGCCAAAATAGGGGTAGGGTGGATAATTAAGAGAACTAGAAAAGTCCAGAAGGAACCTTCTTGATTCTCTATGTGATACCAAGGCCTCAGAAGAGGAGAGGCTGAGGGGGAACCTCTGGGAGTGAGCTCGGTTCTCATAAGCTGGCAGGACTTGGGGGCCAGTAACAAGCAGAGAGATGAAATGACAGCCAAGCTCCCGCTTTGCCCAGGGAAGTTCCTGATTTAGCGGGAGAGACACTGTTTCTACCCCTAGAGAACTCTCAGCCTGAAGCTGGAGACGGTATGGTTCCTAGTCACAGAGGGGTCAGAGCCCCAGGCAGCACCCTCTGCCCCAATTTAAGACAGTGGTAAAGAAACCAGGGCAGAGAGGAAACAGTGGTCCCCCAGAGGGGAGGACCCCTGGGCAGCTAAAGTAACTAGGGACTGGGGAGACGAAGGGAGTTTGGTATGAATTCGCTCAGAAGACCACTGTGAGCACAGTTCTGAGCAGGGTTTTAAAGGCAGAGATGAAGCTGGCTTTGTGGAAAAGGTGAGAGAGGCATTGTTAAATGAGATAAGCTGAGCTAGAAGCATGTAGTTAGGATTGAGTAAATAGGGGCAAGGTCCTGACACTTGATGTAAAGCAATTAAAATGTCTGGGGAGGAGCCCTGGGTTCTAATCCCCACTCTGCTGCTGGCCCCCTGGGGACGCAGACAACTGAGACCCTCTTCCTTGAAAAGCCTGGGTTTCTCCCCTGAGCTGGGGGTTGGACTCCTCAGTGGTTCTCCCTGCTCTGGGGAGCTTTTAAAACCTATCAGTGAGTGGTCCCACCTCCAGAGTCTGAATAGCCTGGTAGAGGTGGAACCCTGTAAATGCTTCCTCTCGAGTGACATCCAGACCTGACATTCTGGGTGGTTTCCCTGGCCCAGGGTCTCCGAGCCTTGCCTGGAGTTGAGAACTGGAGTAACAGGACCAAAGGCTCAAGTACAGGGAGCCCAAAAGGGACCTGTATCAGAGATCTGGATTCCCGCACAGGGTTGAAAGTCATGCAAGGTCAGCCTGTGCTCAGATGGCCTCATCAGTTATCCGGGAACAGGGTATATATAAAGCTTCGGGATTGCTTCCCAACTTGGGGGGCAGAGACATCCACGCCCCATTCTCAGAGCTCTCTCTCTGCTTCAGCCTCAGGTGGTGAGGAGCCCTCTGGTGGGGAAAGGAGGCAGGTTATAGCACTCTGGCCTCAGGAGAGCCCCCTGGGGGTGAGCTGGGAGCCTGGAGGGGTCCCTCTGCCCCCTCTCCTTTCCCCACCCCTCAGCTTCCCTAGACTTCCCTCCTGGGGGTTGGGACAGCAGCCCAGAAGACAGTGAAGCTGAGGGCGAAACAGGAGGGGCAGCAAAGGGAGCCCAGGGCTGAGGGGTGACTGGAGCAGGTCACATGGCCTGGAGGCAGCTGGTCACATGACCATGGCCAGCCCTTCCCATCACCCCCTGCTGCCTCCTTACTCGGGTGCCACCCTGGGCACAGGAATTGCCAGGAACTGCAGCTCTGACAGGCACTGGCCTGCAGGGCCTGGGAGGGTACCACAGACTGCCCAGAACATTTCTGCAGGTATCCCCACTGCCTCTCCCAACCGCACCTCGGCCTCCCCAGCCACACCCAGCCACACCCAGCTCTCCGTTTTTCTGGGCTGATGCTGGCACCCACCCCAAGTCTGTTTCTGTTTGGCTTTGGCATGCCCTGCTTATCTATTTACGTGCATATGTTTACTTATTAGTATATATGTATCCATGTGGCAGATCTTCCTTCCAGACTATGCTTGGTTCCGCTGCCATAAAATAAACGAACACTGCTGACAGGAAGCAACCCAGGAGAAGGGCTTGCTGCAAACGAGCTACCGTCCTGGGAGCAGTGGCAGCCGTGGTGAGGGGTGGGGGGCGGGGGGCTTCACCACATCCGTTTTTCGGAGAGCACATGAAACGGGCACTGAAAGACGGTAGCTGGTTCTCCCTCAGCTCCAGAGTTCCCTCGAAGGAGAGCCCAGTGTGGGTCACTGGCCCTGGGAGCCTTGGCTAGGCCTGGCCCCCTCTTCCTGCTCCACAGCCTCTGCCCAGCTTCCCTGAATAGATTATTCTGTCCCCTTCTCAGAACATGTGTTATCTGTCCCTGATGGCCGTCCCCTGGGAGCGGTGGGGAATTAAAGGGCCCACTCGGCTGGATTCCACTCAGCAGATGGGAATGCGGTGATAAGCAATAAAGAATGAATTTTTTCTTTCTTGCCCACCCACCGTTCCTACCACCCCCATCTCTCTCCAGACATTAGGGATTTCCTCCCAAACCCAAGTTTCCTCCCCTGTCAGGCCACCGAATTCGCCCTGTGGGAACTGGAGGTGGCGGTTTTTCGAGGCAGGGGATGCAGGGTTGGGGAGGGGGGCAGGGGGCGGGGGCGGGGGCGGTGTCCCCCGTTAGAACAGACGCTCCCCTTCCCTCAACCTGTGGAAATGGCCTGTGGGGAAAGCCTGAGGATTCGACTCGGACCGTTCTTCCCGTTCTAGGAAATCCCCAAGAAGCATCAGCCCGTTGCGGCCAGAGCCGAGGAAGCCCTCAAGAGCTTGCCGGAGAAGAAGAAGTTCCGGCACCGGCCCGAGCCGCTCTTCATCCCGCCACCGCCCTCCTACCCCGCCAACCCCGCCGCCTCGTACTCGGGCGCCACCCTGTACCAGAGCCAGCTGCGCTCCCCGCGCGTCCTCGGGGACCACCTGCTGCTGGACCCCGCCCACGAGCTGCCCCCCTACACGCCCCCCGCCCATGCTGAGCCCGGTGCGCCAGGGCTCGGGGCTCTTCAGCAACGTCCTCATCGCGGGGCACGGCCCCGGCGCCCACCCGCAGCTGCCCCTCACGCCCCTGACGCCCACGCCGCGGGTGCTGCTGTGCCGCTCCAGTGAGTCCCCGCCGTCCCGCCCCCCCCCCCCCCCCCGCCGCCGCCGCCGCCGCCGCCGCCGCCGCGGGGCTCCCGCACCCCACCCACTTCTGCCGGAGACGCTTAGACTGCGCGGCGCTACTCCCCCTCAGGGGAAGCCCAGTCTAGCTGGGGAGACCCCGCAGCCGTAATGACGGCCTCTTTGGCGTAAGCGAGCAGTTGGAAGTGTGCCCTCGCTCCCTGAGCCTGGGCCGTGGATAATCGTCGGAGACCTCCCCCCCCCCCCCATGCCTGTACTAAGTCGATAGACAAATAGGATTAAGTATTATTCGCAACACCCGGCTTCCACATCTGCACGCGCTGTATAAAAGTCAAGCATGGAGAGCCCGGGAGCTGGTATCTCTTTCTAGAGTAAGAATGGTTTCAGAGGAGCGATAGAGCTTAGCCGACCAGAATCGGGGCGCTGGCTTCTCCTTACCCCGTGCGAGAAATGAGTAACCCTCAGTCATTTAGCGGCACGTGCCATTCGGTTCCTTGAAGACGACTGGGGGTGACTCTGGCATGGGTTGGGTGGGAGACGGGTCCCATTATGACCGTTTAGGTCACTGATGCTCATTGGCTTTAGTTTCTTCGGTACCTTTCCTGTTGACCACTGACCTCTGGTTTTTGTGCTTCAGACAGCATTGATGGCAGCAACGTGACAGTCACCCCAGGGCCTGGAGAGCAGACCATTGATGTTGAACCGTAAGAAAAAGCAATTTTGGTTTGGTTTTTTTTGTTTTAAGAACAGAAGCCTCAGCTGAGGATGAGGAACCACCGAATGAGAAGTTAGAGAAATTGTAGGATCGTGGTAGTTCTCAAGTACTGGTGTTTCAAGGCTCTTTCCAAAGACTAAGTGCATACTAAAGCATGAAACCCTATATCCAGAGAACCTAGTGACCCCATCTCCGGCTGCATGGTTGTGGCCACATGCTTGCACATCCCCAGTGACATTGAGCTCTCTACAAGGTTCCATCCAAATGCCCTTGTTTCCCCGTCCCCTCCCTAAAATTCTTGGCTGGTCCTCCAAATAGGTTTGGTGTGGGTGGGGCTGGGAGTATAATGGAAGAGAAAGGGGCTATTTACTTTTTTCTTTTTTTTAAGATTTATGTATTTACATAGAGAGCATGCATGGGTGAGTGGGGGAGGGGCAAAGGGAGAGAATGTTCCAAGCAGACTCCTTGCTGAGTGAGGAGCCCGACCCCCGACTCGATCCCACAACCCTGAGATCACAACCTGGGCCCAAACCAAGAGTTGGAGGCTCAACTGACTGAGCCACCCAGGAATCACAACAAAGGTGCTATTTTCATAGATAAGCGCGAAAAAGACCAGGTGGTAGAGTGGCGACTCCCTTGAGTCAGGAATCTGAAAACCTGAGTTCCAGCACCATTTTTTTATTTGACCTTGATGAAGTTAACCTTTCTAGGCTTTGGGGTTTTTTTTTTTAAGATTTTATTTATTTGAGAGAGAGAGAGCATAAGTGGGAGCAGAGGAAGAAGCCGGCTCCATGCTGAGTCGGGAGACTGATGCGGGGCTTGATCCCAGGACCCTGAGATCATGAGGCGGACGTTTAACCAAGTGAGCCACTCAGGCACCCCAACCTTTCTAGGCTTTAGTTAACCCACCTATTAAGTGGGAATAATTATCACTGCCTTGCTTACATCACAGATTTTTGTGAGATTCAGATGGGATAATTTATGTGAAAGTGGTCTGAAAGGGATAACAAATACAATAAGCACATTATGTTTGCTCCATTTTTCCTGGTTAAATGGTGCCAGTGGCCATGCTCTGGGCGGCTGTTGTCTTGCAATTAGCACCCTCCCTGTCTGAGTTACAGTGAGCTATGACGCTCCAGGCAGACTTCTCCCCCGCTCCCAGCAGCATCTCTTCCTAATCTTAAAGCTGTTCCTTCTCCAGTGAAAAGGCCATGCCTGGAATCTTAGGATCACACTGTGAGGAAATGCCCCTGCATTCTTCTTGCAGAAGGAACTGGTTTCCTTCTTTTTCAAGTTCCTGACAGTTGCTCTTGACCTCAAATTGAAGACCACACTGTTGTTTTCGTTCTTGTCCTTAAAGACGTATCAACATTGGCTTGAGGTTCCAAGCAGAGATCCCAGAACTTCAGGATGTCTCTGCCTTGGCCCAGGACACACACAAGGCCACACTGGTATGGAAGCCCTGGCCAGAGCTGGAAAACCATGACCTCCAGCAAAGAGGTATTGGCATGTGGGGAGAACTGGGTGGAAAAGGCTTGATCCTCTCACAGGGGTCTCTGGCTCCAGTCTCGGTGTGTTTGTCCATGAGACCAAGCTCTCTCTGATGCAGTGGCTTCTCATTGTCCCCAACAGTGGAGAATCTCCTGAATTTGTGCTGTTCAAGTGCGTTGCCCGGTGGAGGGACCAATTCTGAATTTGCTTTGCACTCTCTTTTCGAGGCCAAAGGTGATGTGATGGTAAGGAACGGTGAAAATAGACTTCACAGTTCATATTCTCCATGTCAGAATTCTGAAAAGTATTTTCCTGAGTTTCTGCATTATCCCAAATACCATAAAACCAGTTCCTAAGATCATGACCAGTCAACATGCCACCATGTTCCTTTATCTCACTGATTGGGTCAGAATTTAATGCCTGCAGGAGAACCTGAAGTTGGACTTTTGTTTATACATCTGTTCCCAAGTAGTAATTATGATCACATCTGTCTTGGGAAATTAGAATTTGTTTTCAGCAGTCTTATAATTCACATCAGAAACCTGGCCTCCGGTGATAGAGGTAGAAAACCTCACTGAGACAAGACTTGGCCTGAGACAGTGTATCCTACTCTGTTGATTGTCCTTCCCTACTATGGAAGTCAGCCAGTTCGGTGTTCATAGAACTGTTTCTCTCCTAACCAAAATGAAGGGTTTGCTGTGCACCAGCTGGGGTCATTCTTCCACCTTTGACACAGTCAGACCTTTGGTGCCATTTTCCCAGGATCCTAGCTGACCATTTGCCTGCTCCACCTGGGTTCCTGGCAAGGGTACTCAGTCACTAACCTGTTTCCTCTTTAGTAAACACATGGTTTTGGTATCAGATCTAGCCTTTTGCTTTTTGATTTTATGAAAATGTTCAAGTAAACAAGTGTCCCAATACTACCTTCCCATGAGGTTATTGATCCCCTTCAAGGATTTTCTAGAATGTTAGAGAACACTCCTTAATCCTTTAAGACAAGTGTTGCAGAGAAGCACTTCTCAAACTTCTAATGTGCACACAAATCACTTGGGGCATCTTGTTAAGATGCAGATTCTTATTCAGAAATTCTGGAGGTGGGGCCCAAGGTCCTACGTTTCCAACCAGCTCCCAGCCAATGCCTGTGCTGCTGGCCCATGGACCACACTTGAGAAGCAAGAATCTAGACCTTGCTCTGTCCCTAACCCATCTACGATTCCCCATGCACCATTTTTTTTTTAAAGTTGACGAGGCTGAAGGCGGCATATTTGAAAGGGTTCTTTCTCTAAGCTCTCTGGAAAGACAGTATATAGCACAGTTATTACTAACACAACTGTTCATGTTAAATTGTAATGAAATGCGATTTTTCTGCAAAAACAGTTACAAATCAGCCAAAAACAGTTACAAATCAGCCACTCATTTCCTTGGAGGCTTCCCCCCAGAGATTCAGTCTCCATCCAGAGGAAGCCCCACCGTCTCTCTGAGGCTGGGGTCTTCACCAGGGAAGGCGTGGGGTCTCCACTGCTCCCCGTTTTTCTCTGACAGGACCAACTGGCTGCAGGCATGGCGGGGGAGGTGTTTGAGGGCCACGTCCTATGGGGTGCTGGCCAGAAAGGAAGCCCCAGCTAGGGGAGTTTCCCCTCTGGTTTTCCTCCCAGCACCCCCAACTCCTGGCTCTGCAGTGCTGACTCCTTTTCCCCGTTAGGTAATGCTCTTCGCGTGGCCCACAGACCCCGTTACTGACTCTCGCCTTTTCTCTCCCATGGGTCTGCAGGCCGCTCTGGAAATGCTGCTGCTGCGGAAGCCGGTCAGGTTAAAATGCCATCCTTTAGCAAATTACCACTATGCCGGTAGGTTGCCAGGAGCCTTGTGCCCCACTGCTTCCTGAGAGCAGGCTCTTTGCATGTTTGCTGGGGTCACTTTCTAATAATAGACCGACCAGTCCCGTCCTGATCGCCCCTTGTGAGCTCAAGGCCTTCCGGGGCATAGCTGGTGGGGCAGTTGTGTCTGTTGGCTGGGTACTGTTGGGTGTTCGTGTGGGCTCCCCCCACCCTCGTGGATGTGCCGAGAGCCAGGTGATAGCGGATGGTGCCCGCACGTGTGGCGGTGAGACTGGTGCCTCGGCGGGAAGGAACCACAGAGGGGACAGCACGGAGACAACAGCACTCAGCAGCCCCTCGGCTTGGGAATCGGTGGACATCGGTTCAAATCTCGCCTGCAGCCCTTGGCCTTCTGGGACCTTGGTCTCCTCACCCGTGAAACAGGGCTCCTACTCCATCCCTTGCAACATTTTTGTGATGATTAGCGATAGTAGATGTAGCACAACGCGTGGCATATTCTAGTAGCTATTATTCATTTATTGAATAATTATTTATTGAGTACTTGCTGCATACAAGAAACTGTGCTAAGTACTAAGATAAAACAGGGATTTTGACGGACATAGATGGAATCCTACCTCATGCACTTTGGAGTCTGAGGAGGAAGTAGTTACCAACGGATCACACTCAAGGCAGGACAAAGACGTCTACATATGGATATACTGTACAGACCCGTGTGCATATAAATACACGCATACACGTATATTATATGTATACGTATACACATGTTACACACATACGTGTCCACGTACAGAATGTGTCCTGTGACGGTGTGCATTAACGATGACATCACCAGTAAGGGGGAAGGAGAAAACACTGTTGAGAGTTGAATGTGGTAAGAATCATGAAGAGAGAAGGCGACAGGTTGGGGAGCCTAAAGTGACAAAATGAAGTTGAAATCAACATTTTAATTTCTAGTAATGGGTAAGCCTATCCATTCTGAGGGCCTCCCTGAGCCTGCCGGGGTTCTCCGTTTCAGAGGGGGCTAAATCCTCCAATGCCCCTGGGATTGCTAATCATTTGAAGGTTCCTTTGGTGCCTTGGGCAGACACTGCGTAGGTAGGTGCTAAATGCCTAAGTGGGCTTGGGGACCTGGTCAAACCTTTTCTAGACCTCAGTCCAGGCAGCCAGATGTGGCCTAAGGTGAGGGCTGCTCTACCAATACTAGAGTGTTCTCGATGGGCACCCCACCGGGCCCACCACCCTTTGCCCACTTACTGTGCCCCCTCCTGAGCCAGCCTTCTCTCCTGTCATCAAAGGGGGGAAAGGCCTCAGAAGTCACTCACCTGAGCACAGACAGCCCTGGATGTCTGCCCGTGGGTCACTGTCCGCACACAGGCCGCTACTGGTAGTCAGCAAGCACAGAACGGACACAAGGATAAGAAATCCATCATTTAACTAGGGCCTAAGCCAGCCAGTTTCTTACTATTGTCTCCATCACTTCCTGCTTGGTGTCTGCCCCGAGTGTGGGTAGGAAGATGTGGGAGTTCTCCCTAATCTGCCATGGAAACAATTCAGTCCTCTTAATTCCCAGTGTCATCTGCTGCCCATTAAACCCTGACAGGCTGTCCAGCTTCCTGGAGCCTGTCTCAGGCTTCTTTGTATAGTGGGCGAGACAGTTGATGACAAGGAGCTTCCCAACCATTTGCTGTAGCTGCCCTCACCCGCAGGGTGACCAGGGTGGCCGGTGCCTCTGGGCTGGTCGGCTCCAGCTGTGAGCAACCTCGTCTTGAGACCCAAACCCCCTCCATCCAGTTCTTCCCACTGTGCCAAGCAAGTATTATATTGTTTTATGTGTGTCGTGACATAATATTTGGAAAGCTATAGACTAGAAGCCACCCCCCACCCCAAACAAAACAAAACAAAAATGCTGAAATAATAGTAAGGATTTTGAAACTAAACTCTGCTAAAATTACCAATCTTTTAGGGTCCCTAGCTAACGTGTTGCCCGTCCTTGGCCTCCTTCCCCCACAGGCAGACCAGGAAGCACTCTGCTGCCTCCTGGAACATCTGCCTTCTCCAGGAAGTGATCACAGACTGAGCCCCAGAGAATTTTGTAGAACTATGAGCAAAAAAGTCAGAGGTCCCTGGTTCCTAAAGTCTGGCCTGACTCCATCCCTTAATAGTTCCCTTCCAGGCCACAGAGGAGGCCCCAGGGTATACCCCCATCACATGTCCTAGTTATCAGACACCACTCCTTCCCTCAGTTTGGTTCCAAGGTATCAGTGAATCCCATCCCCGTGGCCCCGTCCTGCCTTGGCTTTTGTGCCCTGGTCGGTTTCTCTCCTGTAGGACTCTGTCAGGTTAAGTCGGCATCACCGGGACACTATCTTCTGGATTGCCTTTGGCTTTGGCTCTGTGGCTATGGCCAATGTCCTCCCACCCCAGCTCCCTGCCCTGGAGGCAAGGCAGAACAATTGAGCTTGGAGGCAGAGGCTACAAGTTTGGGGAAGACAGACAGAGACCCAGGCCTGTGAAAGTCACTTCCCCTACTTTACTTAGGACGTTTCCCACCCCATCCCAAGCAGTTCAGTAAGAAAAGGAAAAAGTGCCCAGTGCTGGGGCCCAGGAGAGACACCAGTGTGGGTGGGCAGCTTGCCCAGATCTGGAGGCTGCTTGCCAAGGCCAGAGGAGCCCTGTACAAGATCCTTGGAGGAAGGAAGGTGCCATCGCAGTGGCCCCCAGCATGCTAATCCATACCCAGGCACACAGCCCAGCCCTCTCTCAGCACTCTCCATCCATGTGTGGGTAGCAGTTTGCAGAGGCTCCCTGCTAGCTTTTGGGTTGGGTGGGAAGGCCTGAGCATGGGGGGAATAAGGGTGAGGAGGACACCTGGTTGTGATTAAGGGGCTTGCTGCATCCTTGGATTTTCCACCGAAAAACCATCATTCCTGCGGATGGGTGCGGACACTGGCCTTACGCTTCCTGGCAAGGGCGCAACAGAGGCCACTGTCCAGCTCCCACCACAGCCCAGGCTTTTCCTGGGTCCCAGACCCTGACCTGACTCTGGACTTGCGGGATTACCCAGTCGGTTGGTGAAGGCCTCTTCTCTATCTTGGAAGCTGCCCCGTTTGACGAGGAGACAGAACTACATACTCAAGAGAATACTTTGCAAAAAACACAGCTGTGATGTCATTTTCCAGGCATTCTCAGCTCATGTCTCTGGCTGGAGAGTGGTCACCTCAAGGGCAGGACCTGAGTTAATACTTACTCTCTGGCCTTGCCTGACACAGCGCTGTCACAACGGTAAAGAAAGGGTCAGTGGATGAGCTCGAGGTCTGGATTCAGATGGAGGCCTCCCTTCCTTCTGCCTCCAGGGGGATCTTTGGCAGCAGCCAACTTCACCCTCCACCCCTAAAAAATTATTCAGCCTTTACCCACTGTGGAAAACCTTACACAGAAATGAAGATCTGATTCAAAACCAGTCCCCCTTTCCTGCAGTGAACATATCTTCCTTGTGTATGCGCAATAACAGCACCATCACAAAAGTTTTTTAAGTCTTGAGAGCACGACGGAAGGGCCCTCTTTAAAAGATCCTGAGCCCGATTCTGTCACCGCTCCATGTCTCTTTTTAATTGCTTGGGTTCGCTATAGATTGCCCCAAATTTAGCCACAGCCCAGAGCCTGTTTCCCAGCAACCAAACCTCAGAACATTTTTCCTCTGGATACTGTTCCAGCACCAGTTTCCTCAGTTAATTAGGCCCTTTGTAATTAGCCTTAATCGGCTTGTTAGGGGCCCCTGCTGATAACAGCCCAATAGCCAGGAATCCCCAGGTAGGACAAATGAGCGCTGGGGGAATGTCAGCCCACTAACCCTGCGTGCATGCTGAGTGGACAGCAGGGATCCTGGAGAGGAAGAAAGGGCAGAGCAAGGGGAGGGTTAGAGACAGCCCCCTGCCTCAGTTTTGTATTTTATCCTGGACTTTGTCCAAGACACAGAATCCAGGAAGGGCTGGCTTAGAACCTTGTCTAAAAATGTAGAAAGTGCTCCTATCCGGCAGCCTCTGGGAACGAGGCAGCCTGAGCCTTGCCTTGATGGGATTACAGAAGGAATTTCGGGGGTTGGGGAGCGGAAGTCAGGGAGCCACCAGCAGCCAGGAGTAAGGCTGTGCAACTGTACTCACACAGAACTAGGAACACCAGCGTGGACCAGCAGTCTTCCACAGTGCCGTTAATGCATGTCAGCAGGGGACAGTGTGTATATGCCATAGCTGTGGGCTGACTTGGAATCTTCTCTCCAAACGGCCCGTTTCGTTGTGTGCCTGCCTAGGACCAAACGCTGCTGTCAGGGAAGAGGAAACTGAGAGCCAGAGAAGTTGAGTACCTTTGCTTGAGGCCACAGGAGTAAGTGGCAGAACCGGATTTGCAGACTGGGGTCTCGCAGACTGGGGTCTTGACTGAAGTCACCCCTTTTTTTAAGACTTATTTATTTGACAGCGCGCACAAGCAGGGGGGATGGCAGGGAGAGGGACAAGCAGGCTTCACTGAGCAGGGAGCCCGAAGCGGGGCTCAATCCCAGGATCCCAGGATCATGACCTGAGCCGAAGGCAGCTGCTTAACCATCTGAGCCACCCAGGCGCCCCTGAAGTCACAGCACAGTGCCTTTATCTGGGAAGAGCACATTTGGGTGTTTCTAGGCTTGGGCCTGGGAATTCAGTCCAGGAGGCCAAGGGTGGATTCTCAGCCCTGTGGGCCATCTCGTGATCAGGATGTCATGAAGATGGATCGCATTATAGTGTGAGGATAAGAATGCATTTGCTTGTCTGGCCCTGCCTCTGCCTCTCACTTCATGGATGCCCTTGTTGGACAGACACGCGTACACTGTGCTGTCTTGTGCACTAAAGGGCAACCCGGAGGACTACGTACAGGAGCCATCTTTTACTCTCTGAGCACATGCTCCCTGCCCCGGGCTCTGCAGTCCTCAGAGCGGGAAAGTGCAGCCCACTTCGGATCCAGGACTGGGGATACAGAATGAGCACTTTTGGATGGGGGAGACTGAAGACCCCATCACAGAGCAGCAGCCCTAAAAACCACTGAGGAGTCAGCAGGGGGGATCCCCTTCCCCCATGAGGCTTGGGGTACCCCATGACAGATGGTCCAGGAAGCTATTTCCCGTTCAGGGGGGTTGCACCTGACAATCTATGTGGAGGCATGAAGGGATATGCTTCTTAAAAGTAGACCTGGGCAGGGGTGCCTGGGTGGCTCAGTCGTTAAGTGGCTGCCTTCGGCTCAGGTCATGATCCCGGGGTCCTGGGATCGAGCCCCGCATCGGACTCCCTGCTCCACGGGAGGCCTGCTTCTCCCTCTCCCACTCCCTCTGCTTGTGTTCCCTCTCTCGCTGTGTCTCTCTGTCAAATAAATAAAAAAAAATCTTAAAAAAAAAAAAAAAAGCAGACCTGGGCATTTAACCCTGCTGCTGAGGGGCACTAATCAGGTGATGTGATTCCATTCCTGGCATGGGGTGGAAGCAAGTGTCTCCACCACAGAGACTGGATGCTGGCCTGAGAAGGCTGCATGGCCCTGTTAGTGTCTCATCAAGTCTGAGAGCCCCACTCTAACTTAGGAAACATATGGTCTGGCTGAGAGCGGAAAGGATTCTCGTTGATCTAGTTGGGTGTTGTCATTGGCAAGATGTCCCCCAATTCCCCATCTGAGATGCAACCCAGAGCTGCATGGGCTCTGGACCTGCAGCGCGGTAGCTTGACCAGGGATTCAGCTGATGTGACATGTCCCCATCATGATCCTCTTCCACCATTGTATTTCTGATTCCTCTTACCTCTTTGCTATTTTGATGGATACCTAAAGGGAACCATGGCTGCTCTTTGGTCATTCAACTGAAGTGTTGGTAGTCCTTTCTGTCTCTCTCTTTCTACCTCTGCTCCTGAGCACGGGGAGCATATGGTTGCTGGGACCCCAAGGCCCTGAATATTAGACAGAATTTGAGGAACACTGATGGAACCATTCTAGAAACTCGGATCGCACTGACTTCCTCTGCTCACGTCCACTCCAGCAAAGCTTCTCCAAACACCCAGGCTCTCTTCTCCTCCCTATTGTGATGGTTGCACAGCCAGAGATATCCCAGCCTCCAGAACCTGTGGAAGGTGTTTCTTTCTGCTGAGGATTGATCAGAAAGCCACTTCCCTTCTGGAAAGAGATAAACTTGCAAACCAAAGAGATCAGGTGGTGGTGGCCCTGTGTTTTGGAGTTCTGAGCTGGCCAAATCCGCAGAGCATATTCTGAGCCTGGAGCCAGAGTTCTTGGCCTGATTCACTAATTTTTGCTGAACCTTCCAATGGGAGAAACAACTCAGGTTTCCTATATCTTCATCTTCATCGGTCAACCATAGCACAGTGGAAATCCCGGGCTTATCCTGGTGAGGAAGGAAAGTATTATGGTTTGGGGGATTATAGCTCTGAAAAGTGGAGGAATGTCAAAGGTCCTGCCGTGTACCATCCAAAAAATCAGAGACGTGGAGAATTCAAAAAAACAGAAAAGTGAGGCAGAGTTTTCTGCAAATCAGCCACAGGAATTGAGCCTTCCCTGGAGCCCCCAGAAATAGGACTTATCTTAGAAATAAGCTTTATTTCTTACCCCAAGCAGGCCAGGACCACGCAGTATGATGATCTGCATATTGTGCTTTCTAATTTATGGAGAGAAAACAAATTTGAAAATCAAGGTTAGCCGTTAAGGCAGATGCACCAACCCAGCACTGTGGGGCCCCTTCCTCATGGGTCTTGTACATCAGGGGCCGGTCCCACTCACCTCTCAAGCCTCATCTGCTTTCTCTTCGCTGGGAGTTTGTGTTAAACCATACTGGATTACTGCTCCTTCTCTGAACACCTCTGTTTCCTCATCTGTAAAATGGGTAACAGTAATGACAGTCTTACAGGGTTATTGGTGAAACCAAATGACTAGTATCTGTGAAGTACTTAGAACCTGGCATAGTAAGCACCTAGAAATGCTAGGTTTTTGTTTTGTTTGTTTTTTCTAGCACAGTGTCTTGCATGTAGTGGACACCTAATACTATTGAATGAATGAATGAATGCATCCATCACCTCCCTCTTGCCTCTCACTTTTGCCTCAGCCATGTTTTCTCCCCAGAATTCCCTTCCATCTCCTTCTTGCCTGAATTGTTTCTGTGTGTCCTTTAAAACTCAGCTCAGGTGTTTTCTCTACCTGGAAACCTGACCCTAACCTGAGCGTGAGGCTCACCTTGAACACTGTGGCCTGCTGGTTTGTCTCCCTACTAGATGGTGAGCATCTTGAGGGTGGAGGCTGCCGAGTCTGCCACATCTTGAGGAGTACTTGCTACGTGAACGTTTGCACTCATGAACAGCATAATTACACAAAAACTATAGCTACAATTTGTTGAGCACTCCCAGTTTTCCAGTTACTAAGCTAAGCACTTGTGTGGTGCATTATCTTCTTTAACCTTCGCAAAGATCACAAAAGCTGGGGACAATTAGAATTATTCCCGTTTGTAGGTCACTAAACTGAGTCTCGGATTCAGTAACTTGCCAAGGTCAAGGCCATAGCTGGGATTTTAACCCAGATGTCAGGGTTGCTAACCATTACACTACACTGACTTTTTGTTCAAACGGGAGTTGGATATGTATTATATCACTTGCTAAAGAGTCGTGTTTTGTAACTAAGTAAGCCAGCACCTAAAAGTAGGGAGAACTGTGCACTGTTCTTAAGACGTTTCTGTTTTGTAGGTTCGGACAAGTGGACCTCCCTAGAAAGAAAACTGTTTAATAAAGCACTAGCCACTTACAGCAAAGACTTTATTTTTGTACAGAAGATGGTAAGCATGCTTTTTCCAGTCGCTCACTTGAAATTGAATTTGGGAAATTATACACCTAAAGACATACAGAAATAATTTGGTACTGATTTAACACTCTCACGAAAAGGATGTCTTCCACCTTTCTCTGGTGAAGGCTGTTAAGGTCGCTCCAGTGTTAGGGATGTGAGGGAGAAGGAGAACCTACATTATTTGGACATAGCAAGGGGGGGGGGTATGTTTATCTTAATAAATACATGTAATTTATACATCCTATCAGAATAAATAGAACTGGGGCTGTTGGTTTACAATGTACATAATTTATTTCATGTATATTTGACAGATTTATCGTGTTTTGACAATTTTTTTTTTCTGAGAAATTAGAGGAGGGAAGATAGGTGCCTTTCTGCTAGCAAGTAGTGGAGTTTCTGGTATTCGACCCCTAATCATAATGACAGTAGTAATAAAAATAATATTTTGTGTATACAGCATCTCACAACAAAATAGAACTTTTCTACACAGATGAAGTAGCACTTTTACAGCAGATAATGAATTTAATAGACCTTAATTGGCTAAGAGGTGAGGTGGTTTAGGCTAAAAGTTAAAATGATTCCAAGAGTGTTTCAGAAAGTCAATGAACAATGGAGCCGAATTGTGTTATTAAGCTCATTAAAATGTCCAGGTGCGCAGAGAACAGAGTAGCAGGTAACAGCTCCCACTGGCTCTGGGCTGGGCCAAGCTGATGCCGCCCACTGGGTGCCTGTCTCCTGTCCTTAATCTAGGGCCTTCCTTGATGGACAAGAATCAGAAGAGGTAGACTCTTCTCCCTCTTGCCCTCATCTCCAGATCTGTATTCACCCTTGCCTTTCCCTACCTGGGAGGCCACCATGCTCTTGGATGCCCTGTAAGCTCAGCAGCTTCCATGCTCTTTTTTGAGTCCCCTTCCCACAGGACTGACCTGTCGGAGGCCTCACCCCTTGCAGGCCTGCACCGTGTTGACTGGTGACGGAGTCATGTGTCGTGTTTGCCAGGCGACATGGCTTTTTCAACAAGTGCTCTCCGAGCCAGTGTCCTCACTCCTTGTGCAGCTCTAATGTAGAAACTCAAGATATCCAGTGATGTGAAGGGGGCAACTTCAGGAAGACAGGAGTTCTGGTGGTGCCCCTCTGATCTCATGGTTGGGGTGGCCGGTTTCTGCCCTCCAGAAGCATGGCCAGCCTTTTATCTGCCTCCAGAAGACCTGTATTATTGAGCCCCACCTTGAGCTTGGGAGATCTATGAACTACACAGAGGCATTTTTTTTCTCTTTAGAATGCATGTACCTTTGCCCCCTTGGGGGAGGACAGGGCAAGGTTTGTTTCCTGCAGAAACTAAGCTCTTGTCATCATAACGTTTGCCTTACATTCCTGTTCGATTACTAAGGAATATTTTTCATAAATAGATTTTGAAGGTCAACCGGCTAGAGAGCCAAATATGCTCAAGCACATTAAATGAAAAAGCATGCTGCTTTACGGGTTAAAAAAAGGAATGAGCTCTCTGTGGGCCGACATGAAAAAAGATCTCCAGGCTATATTGTGAAAGAAAAAAAAATCAAGTTGCAAAACAGCATAGACAGTGTGCCGCCTCCTGTGAGGAGAAATATATTTTCGTGTTCTTTGGTATATGCATAAAGAGATTCTGGAATGAGACCCAAGAGATGAAGAAGCGGGGCTGGCTGTGTGGCAGGGGTCGGGGGCGAGAACTGGATGGAGGGAGATCAGGCATGGAAGGAAGGTTTTCACTATCTACATTTTTTTAATTGAATTGCACACACCTATTAGCTATTAGAAAATTAACTTTTCACAAAAACTTGTGGCTTGGCACACCGCGTGCGGCTGAGCTGATCTGGAGATGGCTTTCCTGGCAGGTGAAGTCTAAGACAGTGGCTCAATGTGTGGAGTACTACTACACGTGGAAAAAGATAATGCGCTTGGGGCGGAAACACCGGACACGCCTCGCAGAAATCGATGATTCTGTGGTGAGTGAAGCTGCTCAGTCGCTGCTTATGCGGGCCCCGCTCCCGCCCCACACCCAGGTTAGTAAGTGGCTGGTGTTTGGCTTAGCTTTACTGAGGTGATCGCAGGGAGCGGGTGACGGGCCCGCTCCCTGGCGTAGAAGTGCCAGAAGGAAGGTGGTTCTGGGTTGGCCCCGGAGCTCAATGCTCAGTTCAGGAGGTGAGGGCTGGCGTGGCTTCCGAGGCAGGCAGGGCCAGGGGAGTGAAGCCAGGGTGTTGCCAGCCTTGACTTGATGGCTTATTAGTGGGTGCCCTTGACTCCCCAGGATATCCTTTCTGATCCATCTGCATCACAGATGCTGCTGGCCAGAGAACCAGAACCCTCGGGTTTCCCCACAGCATCCATGAAGCATGACCTAGGAGGAACTCTGGCCTCTAGACGGTGCCAGGACCTCTCAATTATCGAGGAATAGTTAGCAGTGTGTGTATTATTCTAATCCTTAATCACCATTTATCCTCGATACTGATTTCCTTCAGTGGCAGACGATCCAAAGTTGTCTGCATATTCAGTATACGCTAAAGACATAGCACACCAAAAACAAAAGACGTTGAAATCTCCTCCGAACCCCTAATGTGTGGCATCGGTAATTACTATCACTTTTGTCCTTGTGGTTCACTCTTTTTATCTGCATCCATAGCCAGGGGACATCTTTCCACGCACTGTGGGAATTACCTGCCATGCATGGGTGTGTAAAAATGGCATGTCTTATAACAGATTAGTAAACTCCAGGCTGTCACCATCGGGGAAGGTGTTTGGAATTCATGATTGTTGTGAATATCTGTAATTACACTCATTCCCCACCATGCCCCAGTTGTGAGTGTTAGCACATACTGGCTAATTTTCTTTAACAGACACTTACATAGCCCTTTGTATGTGCTGGGCCTTGTGCTAGGCCTTTTACCAATATTGACTCATTTAATCCTCATAGCCAATCTGTGAGGTAGGGAATTAAGGTACAGAGCCTAGGTAACTTAGCCGTGGTCAAATGGCTGGTGAGGATGTTGTCTGAGCCTGATTCCCCGTGTGATACTTAAGAGCAGTCAAATGCAAATTCTTTTAGAGAAGTATAAAAACTCTTGGACTCATTAATGCCTCAAGGTCCAAGTTCCTACCTAAGAATGATCTTAGCTGTGAAATATACACACATACTTGAATTTATATTTGGACCCAGATATCAGGAAAAAATCGACATCTGCATCAGAGATGATGGTGGTCTATGTTCGTGGTTTCCCGTGACCAGGGCTTTTGTTTGAGTGGTCGAAGTAGGTGCTGTCTTATATCTGAAGAGCGTTGTTCTCACCTGTGGCCTAATGTTTAAAAAAAAGCAACGTGGCCTATTCTGGCTCAATCAGCTCAGTTGAGTTCCCACAGTGTAAACAACAATGCGTATGTGGTGCTGTGGGTGACCTAAGGATGTTAACTAGCCTCTGGCCCTCCTGCCCCCCACCAGGAGCATATACTGAAGTTGGAAGGATGTGGCATACACAAATGGAAGCTTTAGCATGAACTCCAGGACTGTTTACAAGCAGCATAAGACGAGAACCAGAAAGGCCTGGATAGGGCCTTAGGTCCTCTCTCTCATCCAGCCTCCACCGTGCCCCAGGCAGGGGTTTGAGGCCCAGAGAGGGGAAGGGCTGCCCAAGGTCACACAGAGCATTACTTTCCAGATGAGTGGACCAGACAGCAAACAAGGAGGCATGAAGAATCCTGGGCTTGCAGACCTAGGACCTGGGTCCTAAGCTTACTGACCTACAGAATGGGGCAGATGGCTTAGATGATTTGGAAAGTCCCTTCCAGTCCTGAAATGTTCTGGCCTCTGTCAGAGTCATGTTTTGGAAGAAGACAAAATCAGAGGATATGGTTTCCTAAGGCAAATTGATGTCTTTCCAGCTATGTGTTACCAAGTGCCTAGGGGAGTTCCTGACATAATATAGATACTCTAAATATTTGTTGAATGAATTGAGTGAACATCATTCCCAGATAGGAGTCACTGTGGATCATAGCAACAGTCCCTCTATGAACTCACTGCAGGGTGATGGGGTGAACAAGGGGATTCAGAGCAAGGGATTGCTGCTGAGGAAGATGTTACCACATAAGGAGGTGCAGTCGTGGGCCAACAGGGCTCTGGAGATTCACAGAAAGGCCCAGGCCAACATGTAAACTGAGACTAAGGAGGAGAGGTTAAGATGATGCCCACCTTCTTGGGCTTATTCACCAGGAGCCAGTATTAAGTTGGATCAGGAGAGCATCCCCACCCTTGTTACCTTAAGGAGAGCAAAAAGCTATGTGCAGAGATGACTCAGGCCCATAAAAAAGAAAGAGGGAGGGAGGGAGGGCAGGAGGATGGAAATCTTGATTTAAGGTCAGCATAGTAGCTCACAGCTCCCTCTTAGGCACTGTGAAGGCACAGTCAGCCTTCTAAGGAAAGTTTGCAAAGTAGAGATGAAAAATTGGGACCATGCAAGAAATGGGGAGGGTGCAGAAGGCACAGTCCTAGGGGTCCTGCCCTTTGTCCTCTTGGCCTGCCTGGACACCTGGGATGGCTTCCTGATCATAGGTCCATAGTGTTTTGTCCCAGATAGAACATGATGGAACACACTCAGATAGTTCAGGGACTTTTGTGGGGAGAAGGGAAAAGGAGAGTTTGTGAGGAATGGCTGCTCTTGAGGTAGCCAGAAGGCCAACAGAACACAGTAGCTTACTCAGCTGAGTAGACTTCTGGCCTGAAGCCATGATAGGTCCTTCCACCTTGGAAGCAAAAGAAGGGGACCAAGGTGGGCTCTGTTAAAGATGTAGGAGGAAAGTGCTGATCACACCTCCCTGTCTGCTGCCCCCATTCATGCTCCCACTCAAGGCCAGCCTGTGGATCTGGTTGTAAATTCAGCACAATTCAAGAAACTAAACGAGGAAAGTAGCTGACTTCGGAAGACAGCAGTCAGGACTCCAAGGGCAAAGCTCACCCATGGTCTATGCACCTAAGTTACTACAACCTGGTCCACTGATGGGGGGTTGGGAAACCTCCTGCTGCCCTTCGATACTTACAGGCAGCTGTTGCCAGTGGTTTTGAGGGGCTAAGGTCTCTGGGCTGAAAATCTAAACAATATGCAGATGAACACATGTTCTCCTGTGGACATTTGCTTCAGGGCCAATAAATGAAGAAGGCTGAGGTTTTGAAATCAGATAGTTTAGGTTTCAGTCCCAGTTCAACTTCTTTACCAGCTATGTGACCTTGGGGAAAGTCGTTCTCTGGCCAATTTCCTCATTTGTTTAAAAAAGAAAAATGTGTACGGGGTTATCGTGCGCACCAGAAATTTCATGTATATATATATATATATATACGCGTACACGTGTGTGTGTATGTGTGTGGTGCCTAATTCATAGCAGGCATTCAACATGTTTTCATCCCCATCATCATCGTCATTAGTAATTGTGATGCTCAGATTTATGTCTCTGAGTAAATTTGGGCTGTTGAGCATTTGTATTTTAACTTACAAATGTCTCAATGCGAATTCCATTTGCATTACTGAGAAATAAGAATATCATCCTCCTCAAGAAACTCTTACTGCAGACACTCAAGGTTTTAAGCACCAATGTTAAATATATCACCACCTCCCCATCCTGTATTTGCCCACCTTCTACCAATTTTGGAATATTACTCAGTGTTTCATTTCACAATACATCATGAAATGGCCAACTTGTTGATACAAAGTTGTACATGTTAGGGTTTTTGTCCTCCTATCTTTGTATCTCTTAGTCACTTTGGTAAGCCATATGGCTTGACGATAAATCATGTTGTGAACATGTATAGATTGCCAGTTGAAATAAAACCTATCTAAATTCCAGAGACGGATATAATCCAGTACAGTGTAATTTAATCTGTAAATTTGTGGCTCTATGGAATGTCTCTTTCTAAGAGTTTTTGAGCCAAAAAAAGGTATTGTGAGAAAATTATAATTATAACAAGCACTGTAAAACAGATGCCATTGTCATTAAAAGTTATCGTGTAATCTATTTTAAGTGCCAAGCTATAGACCATGGCCTGCTTAATAAAGCAATACTGAGTCCACAGAGTTCTAGTTCTAGAAAGGAATGGAGTGAACCGTTGGGAGTTTGACATAACGTGGTTTTACCTGAAACCCCTTGAGATCCAAAGATGATGGATTCACACGGGAATCAGACCATTTAAGTAAAATCAACCCATGTGTTCTACAGTCATAATTATGAGACCTACAACTTAAATATCCTGGATCACTCTGTAAAATGAAGTAGGCCTGCATCTGTACTCTTCGAAGTCTTTCAGCAAATGTCATCATTACTAGTTAATCGTAATTAACCCACTGGACACTGAAGCTATTTATTTCTTAAGTACACCCTGTCGCTACCTCATCCAAATATGCTTGTGTGTGGTATTAAATGCTGCAGACAACAGTGGAACAGTGTCAGAATGTTAAACGCCCCATATTTACTGGCATTGTCTTTCTCCCCTGCCCCCAATCCAAACTGGAGAGAGAAAACTTGTGGTTTCTGGATCCCAGGGTACTGCTCCACTCTTAGAAATCTTTGTCCTTTTCGGGAATTCTTGCTTCTGGGTTCTAAGAATTGTAAGCTCCCCCAGAGTTACATCCCTCTCTGGGATAAACCAAACTGGGAACCATGTGCTTTAAGCAGAGCCTGGCAGATGATACAACTGACCTGTCAGGGGTGGAGGCGGCAGGACGTGCCTTTTGTGTCCTCATCTGTAAAATGGGAGGATGTTTCTGTCTTGTTGGGTGAGCCCGCAAACATGAAAATGCTTTGTAAACTGTGAAGTGCTGTGAAATAGAAGTTGGAATGAGATTGATGTAACATAGATCTCCCTTTCCCTGGGCCTCAGGCCTTCCTCACCCTGCAGGAGCCAGCATCCCTCCATGAGGACAGAGGAAGCAGAGTAAGGTAGTTAAACAAGTAGAATGAGGGCCTCCTGCGTCCCTGGCCTCCATCCCAACCCTCCCACAGTAGGACACCAGGCTGCTCCAGTGACTTACTATCTTGTAAACTCTGAGGAAGACTGGACTTTCTGCTTTGTTCTCCACTTGGTTGCTGTTCTGAAGTAGGGGGAGGGGACAGAGTAGCAGCGAGGCTACTAATATTTTTCATGTTCTTTTTCATAGAATGCCTCTGGAAGGCATTTCTCCAAGCACATGAAGACAGTCCAAAAAAAAAAAAAAAATGCAGGGTGAGGGGGTGGGGGGTTATCTCTTCCCCTTTCCTCTCCACAAAGTTGTTGACATTCACTCTTGGATTCCATTTTGACACAAGCAAGCAGGAGCCCATCAGAGCACCATGGGTCCCATGCTTTTCACAGGCCCTGAGTCAGATCAGACATGTGGGGCGTCTCGTACGGAAATGTATCATAAGGCCTGGAAACAAATCATTATATGGGTCTTTAGTCTCTCTCCAGAGGGGTTTCCACAGTATCGTTCCTGCTTGAAAGCCCTCCTCACTGCTCTGGGGAGAGAGAGCTGCTCACAAGCAAGTTTTAATCCGTTTCAAGGTCTGCTGGTCTTGAACCAGGGCGAGAAACTCTACACACAGAAATCTCTCCTCCCTGCCTTAACATATTTTTATATAAGTGGTGAGGGGACCCCAAAGCGAGGCAGGGGCACTTCCCCGACCTCAAAGCCCCAAGCGCCCAATGACCGGCCTGGTAGAGGCCGTAGCCCTCCCCAGAGGGCTCGGTCGCCGTTCCTTAGGCAGACAGGATCCCCGTGTTCAGCCCTTCTCTCCTCTTCTGGCTGGTGGCTCTGTTTATCACTAAAAATGCCATTTGGGGATGTCCCCTCTTTTGCTTTTATTGCCTCACCACCAGACGAGTGAAGAAGAAGAAGAGTTAGAGGAGGAGGAGGAGGACCCAGAAGAAGATAGGAAATCCACGAGAGAAGAGGAGAGTGAAGTGCCCAAGTCTCCCGAGCCGCCGCCAGGCCCCGTGCTGGCTCCCGCGGAGGGGCCGCCCCTGCAGGCCCTCGGCCAGCCCTCCGGCTCCTTCATCTGTGAGATGCCCAACTGCGGGGCTGTAAGTGTCACTGCGTCCTCGGGGGACCTGGGACTAGGAGGGCGGTGGGCTGTGCCTGGCTTTAAGGACAGGGCATTTTAGAAAGGGTGCACTTGCAGCAAGGAAAGTTTCAGAGGGGACTCCACATTGCCATGGTTTTGTCTCCTGTCTTTTCGTTTCCTTATTTGTTCAGCCGGCAGATGTTGCTGTGCTGGGCGCTCAGGGGCCACAGAGAAGGTCCCCGTCCCCCGGGAAGCGTATGATCCAGAGCTCTTCAGAGCCGCCGTGAATGGTTCTGCAGTGAGCCTTGGACTCCAGAACTTACACCCCGTGTTTCTTGGTGCCCCTCCACCCCGCGGGGCCGTGTGACACCAGGTCCTGCCCTGTAAAGCATGCATTGAAATGCCGTGGGGGAGCCCACAGAGAAGGTTTTGCCCTTTCATTGCAACTTGACGCTATTCCTGGCCATCTCACCTGTCCAGAAGGTTTTGCAAAGTTTCATATTCCATCAAGTGTTACTCATTCAAATGTCATTAATTTGAAATTTGAGAAAGTTGTTACAAAGATTTAGCTTAAAGGGGCGCCTGGGTGGCTCAGTTGTTAAGCGTCTGCCTTCAGCTCAGGTCATGATCCCAAGGTCCTGGGATCGAGCCCCACATCGGGCTCCCTGCTCCGCGGGAAGCTTGCTTCTCCCTCTCCCACTCCCCCTGCTTGTGTTCCCTCTCTCGCTGTGTCTCTCTCCGTCATATAAATAAAAGTCTTTTTAAAAATTAAAAAAAAAAGATTTAGCTTAAAGTTTACCTTGGTACTCTTTGGGGAGAACCAAAAAAATTTTTACTAAGTAAATTAATCATGTAAACAGGCTGAAGGGGAGTCTGTATAATTATTTAATATAGTACATTTCAGGTACGTTGGAAATATTGTTTAGCTAAAATAAAACAAATTTACCGTTTGATCATTCTTAGCACTAAGGAAGGCCTTACAGAATCTATACTGGTCTGGTCTAAGGCTCCCAGTTTATTTTAAAGGATATATTTTTTTAAGCTGTTAACTTTAGACTTTGAGTCGCCCACCGGTCCCCCAGTAGTCTGAATTGATGACCTTTTCCCGAATCAGATTTCTTAAAGCCAGGCACACCTTATACAGGTGAGTTCTAGAGGTATTACTCAAAAAAATGAGAACGTTACTCCTTCACAAGAAGCCGTTTTTTCCAAGCTGGTATACATCTTTGCTTATATATTATACATCTTTGCTTGTATATTATACAGGACAATACTGTTTTCCAGAGTGTATTGAGTGCTGCTTGAGGATTCTGTCACTTAGATGGAGAAAGCAATAGTCTTTAAAATATTTAGATCCTAAAGCAGAAATTCACTTGATTAACGTCTGAGAAAAAAATGAAAAAGTGAGAAAAAAAATGAATAATTAAGAAAAAAAAGATACATACACTTTACATTAGCTGTGAAAAGAACCTAAGAAATTGCTAGCTTGTTTCTGTCTTTGATGTTTAATGACCTGCAAGCGTCACTGCATCATTTCCGTTTTGTATAGAGCGCTTTTGTTCAGGGATGGTTAAGGTGTGACTTTAAATGACAATACTTCTGGGTGAATTTATTTAGAAATTCACTGTTTCGTCAATTCATAGTTTTGGTGTACAGTAAATCCTTGACTGAGTGGGAAGTCATCCTTCACTTTTCCCAATCAGAAATGCTCAGCAAGCTGGATTTTTTTTTTTAGTGATTTTTAAAATTCACAGGGAAAAAGCATCTTGGTTTTATTCCTTGCCTAAGCCTGGAGGTTTGGGTTGTTAAATCAGCCATAGATTTATTTTTTTCCCCAGTAAGACCATAAACAGAACTCATGAATTTCACACAGAGCAAACCACCTACAGCTCCGTGGGTGTGGCTGTTAGCTGATGTGTTTAACAAGCTGGAAGTCGGGGCTCTTTGAATTCAGGGGAGTGGATTGCATCTCTTGACAGGAGCGGTGCTCGACTGGGAATGATTTTGCTCCCCAAGACCCTCTGGCAATGTCTGGAGACATTTATGTCACATCTGGAGAGGTGCTGTTGGCTTCTCCTGGGCAGAGGCCAGGGATGCTGCTAAAAGTCCTGCTTAACACGGCCGCCCTCCAACAAAAACTATCCAGCCCCAAATGTCAGTCGTACTGAGGTTGGGAGAACCTGCTTTATGGCAAGTTTCAAAAGATTGTCCAGGTCCGTCCTGCCCCTTTTTATCATCCCGCAGTAAAATTTGGGAGTCTGAAACATTGCTTCGACAATTGGCCACTGATTGAGGCTTGGACGTAATACACAGAATTTATCAGAGCAGCTAATCAGTGTCTTTCCAACTGTGTTTCTTGGGGTGCTAAGGCTTTCTGTGGTGGGGAGATAGAGCTGAGCAAATTGGCTCACTTCCAGGGTGCTGCCTCTATTTCGGCCAGAGCACCTCTGCTTTTAACTTTGAGCTTTTGAGCAAGACCTGATTTGTTTTGATTTGTTTTTCTTAAAGTAAAAGAAAGAAAGGAAAGGGGAGGAGAAAAGAAAAGGGGGGCAGGGCAGGGAAGGGGAGGTCATTTCCAACTTAAAAAAAAAGGAGTTTGAAAGCTGACCAACTCCCTCACCTTACAGATGGAAAAAAAAAATCAGGTGTCCAGAGGGGAAATGGCCCAGAGGCCCTCCCTGTGAGACAGAGGTGCTGGATCTCGCCCCCAGTGCCCTGACTGCTAGACGGCAGCTCTGTCCCTCAGACCGTGCCGCACGAAGTGCTTCCTGTCTTCCGGTTGTAACAATGATGTGTTTTTTTTTTTTTTTAGGGGCGCAGTGGTAGTATTTGACCTTGACCTTTCCATGCCTATGTCCAAAGTTTGCTTACATAAAACCCCCGCACACCATCATTAGACACTGTTTCAAGTATCCTGTGTTTCACCACTGAGTAACTAATAACCCTAATTTCCTTTTCAGGACTGTAGTGTCATGTCACTCCCTTTCTTCCCCAGGTGTTCAGCTCCCGACAGGCACTGAACGGCCATGCCCGCATCCACGGTGGCACCAACCAGGTGACCAAAGCCCGGGGGGCCACCCCCTGTGGGAAGCAGAAGCCGGGCAGCACCCAAAGCGGGTACTGCTCGGTGAAGAGCTCCCCCTCTCATAGCACCACCAGCAGCGAGACAGACCCCACCACCATCTTCCCCTGCAAGGAGTGCGGCAAGTACGTGCAATTGGACCGGGCACTGAGTTCCTGATGAATCATTGCTCTGGGGAGGCCGGGCCAAGATGCTCTGAGGTTCCTTCAGCTAGAAAAAGAACCCAGTGTCTCCAAATATTCCCTCATATCATCCTTGCGGTCTGCACAGAGCCTCAGGGTGGGTGGACCTCGTCTCTGACTCAGAATATGGTCATTCTGATATCCTCGTGCCTAATAAGGACAGACAACTTCAGGGCAAACCTCTAGTAACAAAAACTTCACTCTTTTTCAGAAATGGTGGGTGGGACTCGGATTCCCACTCCATCCCTTCACACCCAAACCGTAGTCACGAGTGGGACTCTCTTTGCATTGCTGCTTAGTGATTTGAGAATGGCTCTGAAACACCTATCAGGAGCTGTCTCCCCACCACTGGCTCCGGCCTGTGTCTGGGGCAGACATCACTAACCGGATTGCTGCACTCTTCGCTGTCATCTTAAGACAGGACCTCAAATCTTTGCCATCGGCATGCTTCAAGCAAGCATAACCAGTGGATCGGGATGACTCAGGAGATGAAGCCTATTTGTCATGCCTGTCCTTTTATGTATAATTTAAGACAACTAAGAGAGAAAAACTGGCAGTAGGCAGTAATAGTAACATCTAACGCTTGCTGGGCACTCATTTTGTGACAATGCTTTATGTGCAGGAGCTCATCTTAATCCTCACACAGAAACCACAGGTGATGCAGGGGCTGTTTTTATCCTTGTCATACAAATAAAGATTCAAAGTTAGGTAAATATGGCTTGCCTCAGATCACACCCCCAATGAGAGCAGAGCTGAGATTTGGACCCATCTCTTTTGAAGGGCAGAGCCCAGGCTCCTGACCACTGCTCCATGCTATTGGTCTGTTTATTTTAGGTGGAAAATATCACTGATGATAAGATGCACAGCGTTCCCTCCCACAGCATCCAGTGTAGAATTCCACTTCTCAGTGAGTCCACCTGACTTGGAGGGGTTGTCATGAGTGACTTCCTTTTGCCTCCCTAGTTGTATGAATGAGGCCAACTGGGACCTCTGCTTATAATACTCATTAGGCTATTTCACACAACTTACCAGTCCCTGCCATTTATCAGGTCCTATTTGCCTGAGACGGTTTTAAAGGATTTGCACAGGTATGGTTTCACTTAATCTTTGGCGCAACAGGGTAGACACTTTTAGTAGCTGCTTTTTTGACGAGCAGAGAAAATGAGGCACAGAAAGGGTGAGGTCTTTGTCACAGTGCCCATCTGAGTCGGGATTCAGGCTCTGCAGCCTGACCCAGGCTGGCGCTCTCAGCCTCTGAGTAAACCTAACTCCGTCTGGTGGCACTCGCCACGGTGAGGTGGAATTAGCAACAGTCTTCTCTCCGTGAAGCACAGAGATGGGGGAGATGGCTAGTGCGCCCCCCCCCCCGTGTTCTCATACCCTTCAGAACCACGACAAGGCATCACCTTCATCTTACCACAGAGAAGTGAGCCCCCAGATGGATCATTAGGCTTCCTGACTTGAAGGAACCATCTTCAGGCTGATGCCCTTTATCTCCCACCTGTCCCCCGAGGGGAGCCAACACCTCCACTCACTGGGCTACACACAGGCCACAACTCTTTATCCCACCAGGTGGAGACAAAGAACATTTTAACAAACCAGAATTAGCATCTTGAGCTTTCTGGCTGTCTCTCAGTGACATCCATTAAGTGTTTTTCTTGTCTTTGTTTTTATGTTGCTTGGGACCTTTTAATACCATAACTCCAGTTAAGATTTTGTGGAAAATAGAAATATTTTCTGTGGTTTTCCGGAGTAGGAATAACAGGCAAATGTTTGCAGAATGCCTGTTTTAGCTGCTGAAATTACGTTCATTACATGAAACAGTTTCAATATGGGCAATTGTGATTCATCAACTCTGCTTGTCTTAGAAATCAGAGGGTTTTTTTCATTTCCCTTTATGAGCTCAGGAATGAATGCAGAGTATTTGTGCCACCCCCTCTCCCGAAAGAGGCAGCCTCACATCTGGGCAAACAGTTTCTGAAAAAGGTTCAGGGAGAAATATTTAAGGCTTTGCAGGCCATACAACCATTCAGTCACAGCTATTCAGCTGTACCATTGCCGGGCAGAGCATCCCTAGACAGTCCATAAGCAAATAGACACGGCCGTGTTCCAATAAAACTTTATTTACAAAAATTCAGTGGGCTGGATTTGGTCCACTGACCGTGGTTTGTGGGCCCCTTGTCTTGGAGTTTCTCAACCTCAGCAGTGACATTTAGGTCTGATCAGTCCTTGTTTGTGGAAGAAGGGGCCGCCCTCCATGCTATAGGATATGTAGCCACCTCCGTGGCCTCTGCCCACTGGATTCGAGAAATACCATCCTTCCCCTAGAGTTGTGACAGTCAAAAATGTCTCCAGATATCAACAAGTGTCCCTGGGGAGGCAAAATCACCACAGCTGAGAACTACTATTTCCTTCTAACGCCAAAAGGACGAAATTGTAATATGACGGCCAATGAGAAGGGATCTTAGGTGAAAAGGAGTAGTGGGTGCAGCTCAGAAGTCAGGTACAACAAAGATGGAATGGGGGGCATTGGATTTGGCCACACAGAGTGATGGGTGGCCTTGAGCAGAGGGTTGGGGCTGCAGTGGAGGGGACAAGAGTCCAGTTGGAGAGGGTGGAGGGAAGAGGAATATACCAAGGGTGAAGAATCAGGTGGAGCCTTCAAGAAATTTGTGGAAGAACAGGGACAGAAGCCAAAGGCAGATGATGGGTTTTATTATGGGAACTATGAGAGCTCAGCAGCATGCTTGAGGGATTCTCAGATTCTGTTGGGATTCTGTTGGGATGAGGCGAGAAAGGGGGAAGCTAAAGGAGGAGAAAGGCATGTGCTGCAGACCACAGATGGACGGGAAGACCTTTGAGACCTCACCCTCCATTGTCACACTGCATGTGTGCTCCCGTCCCCATCCCCTCTCCCTTGTAATGCTTGGAGAGGACAGGCAACAGGGGCAGGAGGTCCTAGGTGGCCCGGGGACTCCTGACAAAGCCACCCAGACCAGATATTAGACCACGTAGCCCCTGTTCCCTGTAGGGCGCCCGGATTTCCAAGAACTCCAATCTCCTCAGTTTCACATGCTTCTTTTTCTTCATCTTCAGAGTCTTCTTCAAGATCAAAAGCCGAAATGCACACATGAAAACACACAGGCAGCAGGAGGAACAGCAGAGGCAAAAGGCTCAGAAGGCAGCTTTTGCCGCCGAAATGGCCGCCACTATCGAGAGGACCGCGGGGGCGCCGGGGCTGCTGCCCCTGGACCAGCTGAGCCTGATCAAACCCATCAAGGACGTGGACCTCCTCGATGGCGACGTGGTCCAGCAGTTGGGAGGCGTCATGGAAGAGGCCGAGGTCGTGGACACGGATCTCCTCTTGGATGACCAAGATTCGGTTTTGCTTCAGGCGGACGCGGAACTATAAAGCCCCGCTTGTCACGCAGAGACAGCCAGCATCCACGGCCTCCGTCTTCGTTCATCAGGAAACCCGGACTCCCTGCTCGCTTTGTAACCGTTTTAAACTACCTGTTTAAAAAAGTGGTCATTTCATTCAGGTTTAGGAAAAAAAAAAATTTTTTTTTTCAGTTTGTTTTCCTTTTATTTAAAAAAAAAAAATCAATGTTTCTGTGGGAGGTTGGAGGGAATAAATAATTGGCACAACTCTATTTAAGAGGTGTTTCATCTGGGCTACATTCCTACGAACTCATTCCTGGCAGGGAATAAACCTGACCTTCAATGTTCTTTTGCTTTCAGATGTCAACCATCCTTGCTGCCTTTGATCCCAAAGCTTGCCGTGAGTGTGTGGATGCGTGTGCGTGTGTGAAGCAGGCTACCCTCTTCGTGTTGGGGCCTTGGGCCGTCCTTTCCCACTAAGAGTTATTTTTGTTCTGTTCTGACCTCATTCTGTAGTTTGCAGTGAACCCGGAGTCTCTGCCAGGAGATTCTGTGCAAAGGGGTAACTTTCCAGTGAGCAAAGCAAGCCCTCATGCGACACGGCTTTCCTCTAGCACATAGACCATTTGGAAAGTTGACCAAATGTGAAAATACGTTTTCTCCCTGCCTCGCCTCTCACCGTTGGCCTGTTTCCAGGAGTACTGTACAATTTCAGGCTTTCACTCCAAGGCCGAGCTTTACCGAGGACCTGGTTCCTAGAGCAAGTGCGTCCTCTTGCCTGCTCCCCAGGGAACTAGTTGGTTCCGATTCGTGGATTGGCAGAGTCATGTCCCGGCTTGAGCCGTCTAGAGGAAAATAACCCCAACCAGGAAGTTGCCAGGGCTGTTTAGGGAGAGTGGTTGAGGGGCACACGTTCTGGAACACCAAGAAGTGTTCTTTTGCCCAAAAACTACAGATTGGAAGAGCCCCTTCTTTTTTGCAACACTGTTAATGGTCCGTGGAGTTCTGGAATTACTTTGTGCCACTCGGAAGTACTGTGAAACCTCATTCGCTGGGATTTTGCTGTCATTCACCTTTGCTGGACTGTTTCCTAACCAATTTAATAGCAAATACAAGTGAAATAGCATTAAAGACCAACAATAATGGTTTCAGATACCACGTTAGCTACCAATATTTGCATTCAAACAAGGAATGTATTCATTCAAGTCATTTACCAAAGCACTTCTAGAATTCCCCAAGTCACAGAACTCTGCTCTGCTTCCTCCTGTCCCTGTAGCAGGGTTGCTGTTTGTACTTGAAGGTAATAAGCCTGTAATCCTTCAAAAATGGCATTTAGCTCAGGCTTTTGAGCTGAGTCAGACTGCCCCTCCCCCGTTGGGGCAAATGAGCACGTGTCTTCAGCCTGGGACGCAGCCCAGCAGAGAGGACCGCCCCTGGCGGCCTCCCCTCGAGCATTAATGCGGCCTGCGGCCTGACTCCCGGAAGGAGGGCTTTCAGGCCTTGCCCCACCCCAGGTAGGCTGGTTCCCCCAGCTTGTGTAGGTGTGGCCCATCGTGCCAGGCTACTTTGCTGGCACATTAATTAAGAGCTTGACATTAGAGAGAATGTCAGCAGAAGTATGAGGACAGGACCTGAGCATCTTCTAAGTTTGACTCTGGCAGAAGCATTTTGGCACACGCTTGGCGGCCCACCGCGGCCCCGCCTAGGCAGTGTTCTCTGAATCTCAGGAAAGCCACGGACGGAAGATAAATATAAAGGTTCTTTCCGTTTCCATCATTCTGTTTTCAGAAAAAAAAGGTCTTGGCAGTTTCATTCATCCTTTCTTATAAGGCAAAAAGAAAGGTTTTGTTGCTGCCATTTTAGACAGGTTATTCTCTCGTCTGTTTCGAGTTAGAACTGCCTAGGCAGTTTGCATCAACTTTGTGGCAAAATTGTTCCAGAACCATTCCGTAAGATCAGCTGATTTGATTGCGTCTGTCCCGGTGACTGCTTCCCCCTGCGTGTGCCGGCGTCTGAGAGTGATTCTGGAATGGTTCCGCTATCGGGTCTTTGAAAGCTTATCTATCAAAGGAGCAAACACCCAGAAACATGTTTATAAAGCAAATGTACTTGCTGTGTTTGGAGATTTGCCCAGCCGTTCCAGTTTCAAACATTAAAAATAAACTGAGTTGCCAAGGCAAAAAATGCAATGCACAATTTAATTTTGATTTTTCATGCAGTATAATGTAAGCATCTTTGACTTGAAATAACCAAAGAACTCCTTAACGAGACAGTTCAAATTCCTGAAGAAGTATTTCTTGACAATATCAACTTAAAATATTGACTTCATGGTAAAATATTGCACTTATTTTCCTTCTGCAATGATTCTGCCTGCATGTATGTGTTCTGTTTTTGCTTCTCACCCTCCCTGCCCCAAAGAACTTCTCTTCCTAAAGATTAATGTCTTCAACACCGTTACTGTTTACTATCAGATGGTTTTTCATTAGTGAATTTAGACCTCTTTGAGAAAGCTTGTATATAAAAAGTTAACAGATATATTTTATGGAAAAACCCATCTTATTTTCAAATATATTTAACTGCTGTTATATTTTATTAGAGGAAGGTTGTAAATATTTTCTAGGAGTTCTATTGTAAAGAAAAGTATTTTTGAAAAAAAACTAATGTAATAAAAACGAAAACATTTTTAAATAGTGTTGTGATTGCTTCCTGTTCTGGCTTCGTTATGTTCTATTCTCAGCAAATGACTTGCATGCCTTCCCATTTCAGGATGTAATTTATTCAGGTTTGCACTATTATAAGTTGACATCATAATATTTAGTGTACTTAACTGTATTTTCCCCGGAATGCAGGTCCCTTGGTCCGTATCCAAAGCACTATGTATTAGCATCTTCATAATTTTTTCTTTTGTAACGTGTGTATTTTTAATAAGGATTTTATGTAACATTTTGGCAAAAAGAGGGCAGTATTTTCTAGTGAATTTTATAATACATTTTGCTAAAAATGTTTCTTCCTAGGTCAGTTTTTGTTAAGGTGAACCAAAAGTCTTATTTTACCAGGGGCTTAAAAAAAAAAAAGTTTGAAGCTTGAAAGCAAAGTTATATTTAAACATCATATGTAACAAACAAATAAAGATGTTTTATAGACTTGTCCTAAAAAGGTGCATTCCTTCAAAACAAAACTGAGGCATTCTAGGTTGGTTTTTTCCCCCAGAGTGAAAAGCTTTTTTTTTTTAAGTTCTCACAATCCTTTTTTCAGAAAGAGAGCCAGAAGAATTTTACTTAAAAGGTTCCAGTCATTAACCTTCTCAGAAATTTATTACAGTTCCTATAGATAGGCATTCATCAAACAGAGTTGTAACCAAATAGACACTGTCCTATTTATTTGTGAAAACCTGATTCGATACTGCATCAGCTGCTCTGAAAATAAAATGTTATCTTTTTGAGTTTCATTTGGCTTAAACATTCCTTCTTTCTAGCCACTGAAGTGACTTCTCAATGCTGGATAAATACTAATTTACCTGTTCGTTGGTTTCTGTAGACCAGTTTAGAGGTCTGCTGATTAAATATAATGGCTCATTCAAGTGCCCCCTACACACATGCTAGAGGCCAGGTCATGAGCCCCTTGACGGGTTGGTGGTCTCTACACCATACTGCCCAGGCTGCAGCTTAGGGGGCTCAGTATCACACACGGGTAGCTCACGGTGAACTTGCCACAAAATCCCGTCCACCCTGGTATATATGCATTGCTAGTCTGGATTTCCAAATCCTAGAGTATGTTTACTTTTTTATGATTAAAAACAAACCTGGGGTGCCACCCAGGTGCCCCAATAAATAAATCTTTTGAATTTATTTATTCAACAGAAAAATAAGAATTTCCATTCTGTGTTTTCTACAGAATTTGCTTTAAGTGGGGCATACCTGTTCAAGACCTTGATCTAGGTTCTTTGGGGTTTTTTTACTTTAATACTTATTTTTTTTAAGGTTTTATTTATTTATTTGATAGAGAGACAGCGAGAGAGGGAACACAAGCAGGGGGAGTGGGAGAGGGAGAAGCAGGCTTCCCGCCGAGCAGGGAGCCGAATGCGGGGCTCGATCCCAGGACCCTGGGATCATGGCCTGAGCTGAAGGCAGATGCATAACGACTGAGCCACCCAGGTGCCCCTATTTATTTATTTTTAAATACTTTATTCATTTGAGAGAGAGAGAGAGCACAAGCAGGGGGAGTGGCAGGCAGAGGGAGAAGCAGGCTCCCCGCTGAGCAGGGAGCCCGATGTAGGGGCTCGATCCCAGGACCCTGGGATCATGACCTGAGCTGAAGGCAGACGCTTAACCAACTGAGCCACCAAGGCACCCTACTTTCATATTTAGCTATCAGTTTTAGACAGTTCTGTATAAATAAAATAGCTATTCCTCTAGAAGCAGTGTGCATGTAGCCAGTGTTATAAATTTAAATTCTGCTTGCAGAGGTTCACGTGTCCAATCCGAAGACGTTTTCCTATGTTTATATTTATTCATTCAGTACTCATGAGCTCCATGTAGAAGACACTATTCCACACTATTATACAAGGGGGAAGAGAGTATATAAAGATGACCAACATTCCTTTCTGCCAATTTAATACTTAGAACATACAGGGCCTAGGACTTGATTTAATTCCTCCATTGCAGGGGCGCCTGGGTGGCTCAGTCGGTTAAGCATCTGCCTTCTGCTCAGGTCATGGTCCCAGGGTCCTGGGATCGAGCCCCACATTGGGCTCCCTGCTCAGCAGGGAGTCTGCTTCTGCCTCTCCCCCCAGCTTGTGCTCTCTCTTTTAAATAAAGAAATAAAATCTTTAATAAAAAAAAAAAATTCCTCCATTGGGAAGAGCAAAGGTCATGTTTTATTAATAATCTGAACTCCCTTAACACCACTGCCTCCCTCAGCAATGTATATCAGGTGCTCAGCAATGATTTGTTAAATTGATTAATTATAAATAATAATAATATAAATAAATAAATTGATTAATTTCCTCTTCCAGGTATGCTTATCCATGCGTGCGTGCGTGCATGCGTGTGTGCGTGTGTAAATAAAGCCTCTTGAGTTTACCTAAAGTCAATTCTGACTTTCACAGACTCCCAGTCTACCTTCCTCAGCCATAGCCAGCCGGCTGAGGAGTGCTCTAGGAATGAGGATGAGTTTTAATGTTGACACAAGCAAAACACAACTAAGAAAACATGTTAAGAAATTGAATAATATGTTCCTAACTGAACCATAGATGATCTTTGGATCACAGACATCCCCATATAAAGGAGCCAAAGTGCTGATTACTTCCTTTATATAAGAGAGATGATCTTTGAAAAGGGCTGTCTTCCCCACCCCACCCCCCTGCCCCAAGGTAACTGTTTAATGCATCTGTTTGAGTTGTAAAGGCCAGAACAGCCATACATGCTTGTTTTGCTTGCTTTGGGTTGTTTTAGGTCATTACTTCCTCTGCTTGTGTAACTTCATTTTTAGCCGTAATTGGCATTGTTAAAAATCCCTTCATTGATAAATGATTGACATATGAAAAGCTATACATATTTAACATATACAACTTGATGAGGTGTATCTTTGGAGATAAGTATATACCTGTGAAGCCGTCACAATCAAGGGAAAAGGGCTGTCTTTTATTTTTTTATTTTTTTATTTTTTTTTAAAGATTTTATTTATTTATTTGAGAGAGAGAGAATGAGAGACAGAGAGCATGAGAGGGAGGAGGGTCAGAGGGAGAAGCAGACTCCCAGTTGAGCAGGGAGCCCAATGTGGGGCTCGATCCCAGGACTCCAGGATCATGACCTGAGCCGAAGGCAGTCGCTCAACCGACTGAGCCACCCAGGCGCCCAGGGCTGTCCTTTAAAATAGAACAGCTGGTGCAATCAAAATATGTTAGAAATATATGACTCACATACTTTTATTCTTCCTGAATATAAAGCAAGTTGTACTTGCCTCAACTACCTAGGATTGTTTGGCCTCTTACTCATCTTACAGTAAGTCAGATGTTTGAAAGTTTAGGTAGTAGGGAAGAGGCCCATAATGGCTGGGTCAAGCTGCAGAGCGCTGTCCTTGCCTACACACCATGGCAGAGAACACACCCCTACGGCCCCACTGCTGGCAAGACCTGGCTTTGCCCCTCACAATGACTCTCCCCTTTGCCCCCAGTTAACTGGACCTGGGCTGGCACCTGACCCCACTCTATTAGGCCCATAGGCTGCTTGGTGACACCCAATATGGCTTGGCCCAGGAAAATGCGGGAACCAAATCAAATCTCCAAATTTGAGGGTCTGAATAGAGAAACTCAGTGAGCCAGAGGCAACCAGCAATGGCCACATGCCAGGCAGAGCTCTGGGGGAGCAGAAGCTGTTTGTAAGCAGGGAAAGCCCACCATTAGAGGGACCATGTATGGCCTCAAAAATGGAGAGGGTATCGAGTCCCTAAGTTGCTTTGAACCCACTTTTCCAGTTCTAGGAACACTTCAGGCCATGTGTCTTTAAAAATAAAAATAAGCCGGGCATCTGGGTGGCTCAGTTGGTTAAGCGACTGCCTTCGGCTCAGGTCGTGATCCTGGAGTCCCTGGATCGAGTCCCACATCGGGCTCCCTGCTCGGCAGGGAGTCTGCTTCTCCCTCTGACCCTCCTCCCTCTCATATGCTCTCTCTCTCTCATTCTCTCTCTCATAAATAAATAAAATCTTAAAAAAAAAAAATAAGCCCTTTCCTCTTCCAGGGAGGTAGGGGAGTAGGGATCTCTATTCCTCGAATCCACAGGGACTTACACAGAACTAGACCTCATCACAGAGTAACCCACTGCAGAGGTAGAAATGTACGAGCTAGGATTTTGAAGAGGGTTATTGGTTCAGCTGTAACTAATTCATATGACTTTGAGTCATTTCATCTCTGAGCCTCAGTGTCCTCGCCTATAAAATTAGGATAAAATTTGTGTCTTCCTGTGAGGATCAAATTAGGTGAATGTCACCATCATTGTGGCTGCAGAACACTCACCCAGCAGAGACTACTCAAAGCGGGCAGGAGGCAGACTGCAAAGCTGTCGCGGAAGTGCCATAACAGAAACGGATGCAAACTTCAGAAGTAACACCAGAGTTGGAGAGCTACTGGAGAACCCCACTGGCTGGGAGAGACCAGCCAACTTTGAATGTCACAATTCAGAGAGGGAACCTAGCTCTGAAAAGGGCACTGGGCAGCCTGCCAACGTCGGGCACAGTCAAGGATAGTAGAGGTGTGGGCGTAAGGTGTGGTGTTTACACACTCTGGTGTAGAAACAGACTGCACTTCTCTGCCACGCCTCCACATGGACAGAGTTCTAGTGAAAAGAGGCTAGTCTGAGGGACCCCAAAACTAGTTTCTGTTCCTATCTTCATCAATTTGTGTGATGTTGGGAAAATCATGCTACTTCTTCCTTGGTTCTCTTGCCTACAAAGTAGGGTGAGTGATACCTACTTGGGTGGGGGAGAATATATTTGCATAATACTTTAGTTAGATGGTACAAAATGTTCTCATAAACCTGATCTTTTTATTTTTTATTTTTATTTTTAATCTGCTCAACAATCTTGCAAGGCAGGTGAGGTAGAAGCAATTTTTTTTGAAGATTGATTGATTGATTGATTGATTGATTGATTTGGGCGGGGGAGGGGGAGGTGGGGAGCAGTAGAGGGGGAGAGAATCTCCAACCAAGTCCTGGCCAAATGTGGAGCCCAATGCAGGGCTTGACCCCACGAATCCTAGATCCCAACCCAAGCAGAAACCAAGAGTTGGACATTCAACCGACTGCACCACACAGGTGCCCCAGAAGCAACTTTATGTTACAAATAGTGGATGATACTCACCTTGCATCATTATGTGCTGGGCATTATACCAAACCGTCACACATCCCCATCTCATTTATCCTGCATAGCAACTATTTGAAATGGGAACTACTGGGGCGCCTGAGTGGCTCAGTCGGTTAAGCATCTGCCTTCGGCTCAGGTCATGATCCCAGGGTCCTGGGATCGAGCCCCGCATTGGGCTCCCCGCTCCGCGGGAAGCCTGCTTCTCCCTCTCCCTCTCCCCCCACTTGTGTTCCCTCTCTCTCTGTGTCTCTCTGTCGAATGAATAAATAAAATCTTTAAAAAATAAATAAATAAAAGCCTTTTTAGTTGGAGCTAAATTATGGTGGACATTAATAACCAGATATTTTTTTGGTTATCAAACTTTTTGCCTTGTGGTAGTTGGTAATGTCAGCAATTGTAAATTCTGAAAGACTAGAGTAACATAAGGAAATGAAGACTTAGGAAAATCTGTAGGACAGTGGTGTACAGGATGGTGGGGGGGGCACAAAAATGTCAAATGGTGTGGGGAAGGAATATAGGATTAAGGAACATAGAAATGTTTTCATTTCATTGAAATGAAGTAAAGGGATGGGACCTAGACTCATTGCAGTA